CTCGATTTTCCTTTTGTGGACCTGTAGCAATTTGGTTATCCACCTCTAATCTGCAACAGGGAAATCCATGACTCTATAACTGTATGGGTGTGTCGTTTTTGCAATGTGCCCCCAAAATGGCTTCGGAGAAGGGGCTACCAGTTACCAACTCCAAAACAAGACACAGCTGCCCCCCACCGCTGGGTTTTCTTTCACCCCTACCCCACGAGAGTCACAATCAAAACCCGGGTAAGTCAAGGTTAGTAAGGGACACTCCCAACCATAAATAGCTGCGGCCGCCTTCTTAATTCTTTGCAGGGTTCTGGGTCGACCATTTTGAAACCGGGTTTTGATGACACAATGACACAATCAATGGAGTGGGCTCGGCTCGCAGCAGCTTTCAGGAGCTGCAGCTGCTGGCAGACAGCCTGACGCGCACCGTAATGATGCTTGCCCGGCAAGGCGAGGAAGGAACAGCCAAACCGTAGAAAGAAGTTTCACTGGTGGCTCGCGGTCCGAATTGATCTCATTGGGAACTTTGCACGAACTCCATTTTCTGCTTTGAGGGATGTGGGGAGATAATGATTCCAAGTTCAGCAATTGAGGGATGGCGATCGTTGATTCCTTGTGCAGCTGCAGTTGCACCCACGACAGCGCGTTTGGCTGATTTTCCTGATGAAAGTTGCTGCTTGTTTTCTTGCTTGCTGGTTCTTTCACAGACACGTGCTCCATGTCACAGGTGTTGAAAACTACCTGCGTTTGCAGCAACAGGAGGCCGGGACAGTTGAACTGCTTTCCTTTTCGTTGACATATTTGGATATTGCGCTCTTTCCGAGATTCATGCAAGTGGGCGATTGGAGGCTTTTGGAAGACTTTTTGTTCTCTTGATACGGCCCATTGTCTGCTTCCATTGTTGAACAATGGGTTTCTCCTGCTCAAAGTTCTGGTGCAAGCCTCGTGGTTTTGGCGTTTTTGGTACGGTGCTCTTTGGCATGCACTCTGAGCCAGCCAGGAGAAGGGACAGAAAAGGATGGCTGACTATGTCAGCCAGGCGACAGTGGGCGCGTATCAGACTGAAACTTTGATCAGGCGAGAATGCCGAAACCGCATGTTTAGAAAATCATATTTGAACAGGTCAATCCAGCGCGACTCGCTAAATCCTGCGCGCTGCAAGAGTACGCCGCGACAAAACGGGCGGCAGCGGCGCCTGAGGCCCGCGCCCGCGGCAGCTTGACCATCGGGGCCGCCACGGTGGCCATGACCATGGGCTCGCAGGAGAGCGTCATACCAGCATTTGGGGAGCGCCATACCGTTGGTTGCGAAATCCGTTGAGACCACGAAATCTGGCACCGTTGAGACCAGCACGTGTGTATTTTCGTGGGGGAGTCATATCTGCCAGGGTTGCTTGGTTGTCGCGAATGGGATTTCGTCCATCCAGAGCAGGGAACGGTGGCCCGGGACATGTAGTGAGACAGCCTCGGATTCTGGATGAAAGTAGGAGTGAGAGTGGTCTCTTTGAATTGATTCATTTTCCAACCGAGGGGGGCAACTGCCTCTGGTTTTGCTTGGAGGTGGTTTTGTTTGTCAATCTCAGTGGAAGTAATCTGAAGCTGGTGGTCGTGGTGGTGGCATCCACTCGATGGAACCCTCCCAACTTCACGCTTAGGGCGTGTGGAATGTGAGCTGTGGATATTTGTCGTTGCTTGGCTTTGACGGGATTTCTTGCCGAGGGCAGGTTGCAGAGGGATTCTGCGCCGAGGATGTCCACCAAGCCATCGCAGAGGTTGACCCGATCTTCGCAGTAAACGCCATCTACGTCTACGAGCAGGTGGGCTGTCAACAAAGACCTCAGGACATGCGCTTTCCAGACTAACGGTTTTCTAGCCCTTGTAAGAAAGTGATACTCTTTGTCTTGTTTTTGCCGGGCGGCCTGCTATTTATTTGCTTTATTACATTTCAAGCCTTGGTCGATCGTAAAGCCTGAGAGTGCTCGCAACCAGTTGCTGGGAAATTCAGGATGTGTCTGCGATTTTCGTGTTATTCCTCCTTTGTTTTGCTCTTCGACAAAACCATTATGGCGACGGAAAGCTTGGCCCTGCCTAGGCCTCACAAACCAGCTGGGTGCACAGTGCGGCTCGGAGGCTGCATGCGAGATTCCTTCGAGGCTAACGGAAGATGCCCACCAGCAAATTGATCAACTTTTGATTTGGGGAATTGCAGTGACCCCTGTTTAAGTTACAATGCCGGCGACTGGGAAAGTCTGGCCGCCTCGGAGAAGGCAATCGATGTCTCCAAGGATAAAGCCGGTTGGAACGTAAGAAATCCCAAGATCCTGCTCCATACTCGGAGCATGGATGGTCAAGCCAATGCAACGCATGCCAGCAACGAGGAGAAGCAGAATCCAATGAAATACTAAAAACGCACTGCCGCTAAGTCGCTAACCCTTTCAATCATAAATGAAGACATACGATACGTGAGGCTGTCAAAGAAAGAAACAAGTGACAGTTATCTTCTTTTTTGAAACAATCGGAGCAACTGCAGCAACTTGGACTTCTCGGCATTGCTTTCTGTGGTTGTAGCGTGGAAGGTTTGATACCTAGTTCATCATGAACATGGCAAGCCAACATTCTCTCAAAACCATGAGCAGGGTCAATCATTCCGATTCAGCGTCTTTGATGCACATTACTTGTAGCAATTTCCCCCCTAGGGAATGTTTCGAACTTTTGGAATTTGTGTTGCTTCTGAATAGGATTCAAATGGCAGCATGTGCCGAGCATAGCATCGATGCAGACATTCAAGGCCCAAGCAGGACATTTGGGTATGTGTGAATATACGGGGATGCCAAACATGGTCGTTTTCCACACCCACACGCCCACACACTCACACACTCACACCCACACACCCACACACCCGCACACCCACACACCCACACACCCACACACCCCCACACCCACACATGCACACGTGCACATGTGCATGCCCACACACACACACAGACACACACACACACACACACACACACAAAGACACACTCACACATAGACACACACACACCCATTTGGGGGTCAGGATTACTGAGTCAGACATGGAGCAATCGTTTGGAGATTCTAAGTTTTGCCTTTGCTAGGTGTTCGACAACGCACGTACACCCTTCTGCTTGCCGTTGCTTCCCCAACCCCCCCCCCCCCCCCCAAGCAGGCGGGTCTTCCAGTGGTCCCGCCATTTCCTTTTCTTGAACCTCCAACGTTGGCTATGTCACTATCGCCCACCAGTAATGTTGACCCCTGATTTGTCAATCTGATTTGTCAACCTGATGAACATCGGGAGGTGCTTGAATCCTATTTTTCCGCGTCAAATTTGCTCTTGTTTTGGTTTCCCTTCAAAAAAGCAAAAGGGCGCCCTCCAAAACAGACAGACCCTTTATGTTTTTGTTTTCTGCTGTGGCAGTTTTGGTTTTGGGACATCTGCGACTTCGCCTGTAGCGACGCCCCCTACCTGAGAGGAGTCGAGGCCCCAAAAGAAGCTGCCGGAGTCGAGGTCAGTTTCTGCGGAAGCTGGCGGACTTCCTGGACCGCGCCTTTGGAAGCGGCGCGCTGTCGGGGCCTTGGGGCCCGTCGGCGAGAAGGTCTCAAAGAGCTTTGGAGGCGAATGGGTGTTAAGGACTTAGTTTAAAGTATCATCTTATCCTTGTTGTTTTAAAGAAATAAACAAACAAACACATATTTTGTTTGTATCTAGTTGCTTGTTTGTTTATGTATTGATTCACGTATTCAGTTTTTCCGTGTTATCACTTTGTTTCTACTTGTACAACTAGTTGAACATCTATTCACAATATTCCTGTTTTGTTTTATCTATGTGTTTCTTTCGCTTTGCATGTTCTACATATATGTATATATATATATATATGTATACACATATATGTATGTGTTGCCATGTCTTCAATCTTCCGGCTGCGGAGGGAGTTTGATTCCGAGGCCCGCGCGGCGGCGCTTGCTGAGCGCCTGGGCCCCGATGATGCTGGACGTGGTGGCCCAGCTGGTGGCGCCGGGCGGCCCAGCGTCCGAGCGTCCGGGATTCTCTCGTCGGGGCGGAGTTCTGGAAAGAGGAAGACGGGTGGCTCATCTTTTTTTTTTTTTTGAGGGTGTTCCCTTTTTTGCGGCTTTTCAAGGAGAACCAAGAGGAACACCAGCATTTCTTTTTTTGGTTCTGACAAAAGAGACCTTTGTCCAGTAACCACTGGAGCTTGGCCACGGAGTTAGCCGGACGGTACCGCACGTTGAGTCGCCAAGAGGTGTGAGGGTCCCAAATGGGACGCCCTTGCTTGGGTCCCAACGATGCATTCCCACAAGGCTATCATAAGGCTACAGGCACTTTAAGGCTATTTGGCAAGTCATTTCACGCTTGCAGGCATGGGATCTGACAAAATGTCCTGCTGAAGGCTAAGTTGTTCCGGTAAGCACACTGGCACGAACAAAATGATGCCTTTCCAGACACCAAGCTTGCATGGTTTGTATGCCATCAATTGGAACTGAATTTGAGCCTGCGCGCGTCTGCTGGCTCCGAACTCGCTCGATCATCTCTCAAGACCCATCTTGGCCCAAGCCCCTCGAGGTGTCAAATCCACGGAGCCCATTGATTATATAACAAGAAAGATGAAACCGCCCCGTCTCAAGGTTCTTCCAGACAGCCACAGCCAGACACGCCGGACAGACTCTCACATTTTGAGCGAAAACCCCCAGCGGCCAATTGCGCTGCAGTTTAGCCCAGCGCCCTGCAGAGCAGGCAGGTGTTGCAGAGTGACGAGAAAGCTGAAAAGAGAGGCAGGCCCAATATTGGGACCTTTGAAACAAACGCCAGCCAACACAGTGAGTCAGGGCGATTGTGGACTTGGTATAATCAATTGCATTTTGGGAAGAGAGACAGAGAGAGACGTAGAAAGAAACAGGCCAGAGAGAGAAAGAGAGAGAGAGAGAGAGTGAAGGAAGAGAGCAGCTTGGCTCTTCAGGGCGCGGGGCTCGTGGATGTTTCGGTATCGTGATGAATATGCTCCGGCAGCCTCTCCGCCGTGCTTGCTTTGAGCGGGCACTCCGCGAAGCAGTGCTTGGTGGGCCCAGGAAAGCGCCGGGTGGTTTGTCTCTAACATCGTAGCTTGCCATGCACAACAGGGCTCCTTCAAAGATCTACATTTTGCAACCAGTTGAAACATGTCGCTTTTTCAACACACAAATAAAAGGCAAACACCATTTACAAGGCAATGTTCAGGTGTATAATGTAAGGATCCATGCACAAGGATGAGTTGCCCAAGGGAGTTTCGTTTCAATGACCGGTGCGCGGTCAAAGATCACGAGCCAGGTCGCGCTCTTGGGAGTTGGATTGGCATTGCTACTGCTGCAACTGCTGGCATTTGCCTTCCACAAGCTCACAGCTGCTGGCCAGAAGCGGAAGCTCTGTGGAGCCTCGGCGAATCAATCAATCAATCCAACGCATCAAGTCCAAAACGCTTCCGAGGTTTCAGCATAGGCAGATGTGAGCAGAAGCCGTTCAGAATCTAACAATTCTCGCCAGCTTCACACAGAGCATTGGGCCCCTCAGCTTCTTTGTGGTGTCTTTCCTAGGGCTTGGAATTGGATTTGTGGCTTGAGTGGGATGTGTTTGGACTGTCCCGAGGTCCTTGGCAAATCTGGGTGGACTGCGTGCTTACAGCTTGCCCGCTGGCCACCTTGACCTTCGGCATCCTTCTACCTGTTGGATTTAGCTACGCAGGTCGGACGGATTCCCAACGGAACTGAGCCATTTGTTTCAGTGAGTGTCTGAAAGCTTAGTAATTACTGATAGTGTAGGCTGGGATTGAAATGGGTGTGGCTCAAAATTGAAAAGCTAGGGTTACGCAGGTTTTAGTCTTTGGTTCCATTTGCCAAGGGTGCCATTTTGGTACATGATTTTGAGCCACAGCCAAATAATCCGATTGCCGTTGTGTACGCAGAAGCAGGGTCATTTTGTGGAAACCCTCGTGCGATCGGCCTGATATCAAGCTGAGCCCGAGTGGCAGGCCCCTGACCGCCTGCCAGGCCTGTCAGCGTCAAACTTCTGGGTGGATGTCAACCTAGATTTTAGCACCTACCTCGCTGCTGAGTTGGATGATCAGCATCTGAGATGCTAAACATGCGCGAGGGGCGAGGGTAGCTGCAGGAGACATGTTGGGGAACATGGAGAGGATTTTTCGCAACCATCCGTATATCAAATCTACACCAAAAGTCTCCACCCCTTCGCTCATTGTGCCAAGCTCATGTGGCTGTGGGTCAAAACCTACCCATTTTAGTCTATTTTAGTGGGGATTGGGATGTTCACTGGGAGTACGGGCTTTTGGACCCATCGCCATGTGAGGCTACGGGAATCCTGATGGGTTTTGAGCCCTGCGAACACGGCACGCTGCACCTGAGGTATCTCTTGGACCTGACGCTGGCAGTGGCCAGAGATCAAATCACGCGGAGCGACAAGATCCACGAACGTGGAGGGGACAGGCGTGCGGGTATGATTCTGTCCAAACATCTTTTTGACCAGACAGGCGTCCTAAATCTCGGAGGTTTCACAACAGCCTAGAATTATTTTTCTTGATCATCCACATTGTTGCGGTAGTTTGCAAAAATGTAAAATACACATTCGAAGTGCCACGGGACCATTGTCAGAGGAAATTCCTTAGGCTCAAACGCTTTTATCTTCTTTCTTTCTTCACCAAGTTTCGACCATCCTTGCTTGTTTTTTCCAGCTTGGTGCAACACCTGCTCCATCCTTGCGGCTTTTTGTTCTCGGTTTCTTTTCCACCTAAGGAGGCCGTGGACGTGTCTTTTCCTTTTACGGTGGCTGAGCTTGGCTGCGCTCGCCAGGTGGAGATCCTGGAACTTTGCCGAGGCCCTGCAGAACCTAAGCAACGGCAGCGCCGCGGCCCCTTGGGCGGTTCCCTCGCGGGTTCGAAGCGGGCGAGTGGGCGATGGGGTAGCTGAGTGTCGCTCTCACATGTCCAGCCTTCGCCCTCCAGAACGCAAGAGGCCTGAGAACTGATGATCAACAGCAGAATCATCCTGAGTAGTGAATGGGTTGGTCAAAGTAGGCTTCAGTGCATCGGAGACAGGACGATGTAGGCAGAGGGACATGATTTCATAGACAAGCAGGTTCAGGAAGACTTGTCTCTAGACAAAAATGGTTGGTTTTCTTTTGCATTTTCTGAACTTCCCAACCCAAAGGTTTCCCAAAGAGATCTCTGCTTTTGGCCCGGCTGGAACTGATAGGTCCCAGACCGGCGGTTGGTGCAGAGGACTCAGAGTGTGCCCGGCGCCCAGAGCAAAACGTGTGAAGCATGCTTGTGTTTTTCAAGGGAACTGGTTTCCTTTAGGTTTCCCCTCAATGGCCAGCCAAGGATTCCCCAAAAAAGAGGCTTATGTGCACGTACGTCAGTCAAGTTGAGAGTGCGAAGGGGCGCCAGCGACAGTCGATGTGAGTGCTGTGGTCAAAGCACCCCTTCGAGATGGTCATGGACCGGATTTTAGACCACCATTATACGGGTTCCTATTGCGGGAACCAAGCTCTGATGACTCATCGCATCAGACACGCCTTGTGCCTGAAGCCTTAGCAGCCTAGGACGTATTGGAGACTTGATCTTTTCTATGAGGCAAGCAGGGCGCATGCATCGATTGCGCAGCTCATCCTCTCGCAAAGTGGGGTTTGCCCCCCCCCCCCCCCCCCCCAAAGCACCTTTTGTGTCACGCCGGGCTGGCCATTGTGCTCCGCTGCGACTATTTCCCGGTGGCCATTTGCGCGCGGAAGCATGTTCGAGCAATTGCAATGCCTCACATGATACTTTATGTGCATCCACAGCCTCACCTTGCCGCAAGAGCCAGATGTCCAAACCAGGAACTGCGAAGGCCGTGATTTCTTGTGCCTTGCCACATATCAACTGCCCGATATGGCCGGCCAGGCCAAAGACTCCGAGAAGGGTATTTTTACCCCGGAAGCCTTGGAGGAGATCAGGCGCCACTGGCCCCATTACGCCAAAAGTAGAACCAAGGGGTTTGGACGTTGGACGCCTCCAAGACGGCGGGCCGGTGCTCAGTTGCGCACCGGGAGCATGCTTGACAAAGCCACAAGTGGGTTGTCGCGACTAGAAGGAATCTCACCCTGCGCGCTATCTGGCTGATTGCTGCAGTGGTTAGTACAGCCTTTTTTTTGAAGAAAGTGTGATGCACTCTATTCTTACAAAGCTTTTCAAATATGCAGATGCGGTGCATTGAGTTCCATCGGTAGCATTGATTCCTACGGGTATGACAAAGTTGGAGGCCAGTGTGGGATCATATGAGTCTCAATATCGGCATAATGGCCTTTGTGTCCACCCTATCTCGGCCATGAATTGTTTGCCCATTGACAGCTGGTCAGCGCTTTTTAAGATCCTGGTACTTACATTGACTTGGATCATCGGGGTGTGGGCTTGTGCACATGCAGCTGGAATACAAATGCTGTACGTGCACGCGATGCCAGGGACTTCGAGAGTCGCATCAGAGCTACGGAGGGCTTCGAGACATACTGCAGGAAACGATTCGGAGTTGACTGTGACCCGGCATACTCCGTGAAGGGCTCAGCAAGAGTTGAGCACAGATCTTGCGAGCCATGTTGCCAGATGGATGTGTCTTTTTTGGAGGGTGGAAGTTGGGGAGCCCCGCATATCATATCCCGAAGCAAGCGACGAAGCATACCCCCGAATCATACCTCGAATTATACCCCTGTGAAACATCCAACATGCACTTTTTCTGCTTTTGCTACTGCTGCTCCTACTTACTCGTACATCTACGGCTGCTGCTACTACTACTACTACTACTACTACTACTAGTACTACTACTACTACTACTACTACTACTACTACTGCTACTGCTACTGCTACTGCTACTGCTACTGCTACTGCAACTGCCACTGCCACTGCCACTACTACTACTACTACTACTACTACCACTACTACTACTACTACTACTACTACTACTACTACTACTACTACTACTACTACTACTACTACTACTACTGCTGTATTCACCAAAGTCTTCCACCATCCGAATCATCATACCCCGAATCAATCCCGGAATCAGACCAAGCCTTTCACTTTCCTTGCCACGTGTGACCGAATCACTGCTGCGAAGCCAGAGGCAGGCAACTGCCAACATGGGTTTGGTCTCTTCTTGCGAATCACACACCAAATCATACCCGGAAACATACCCCGAATCAGACCCCGCAGCATACCCCCATGAGCAACTTCCAGGGCCGGGAACGTTTTTGAGACAGGCAGATGGCCCTTATCCTAGCGGATCGGTGCAGAGCCATCCCGGCAGCCCAGGTCACCAACGTATTCTTTGCGGTTCCCAATGCGACGACATCGGATGGAGAGACAATGCAGGCAGGACACCTTGGTGCGGTTCAAAATCCAGATACCCGTTTTTGGGTGACCCCCCCTTTTGTTTGGTTCATGTTGAACGAGAATCTCGGGGGTAGGGGGGTACCAGGGTTTTGACCCACAGCCACCTGACGCAAATGTGTTCCACTTTGCGAAAGTCACAGGTGATCTACGACGGATCTGGGGGCTTGGCCAACATCAACGATGTCTTGCGCGGCTTTCTTAGAGCTGCCCGGCGAAACATCTTGACTCAACCTGGTGCTTTGGCAGCTTTCTTTTCCGCTTTGTTTTTCGACGTCCGGGCTTTGGCTTTCTTACCAAGGATGGGGTGGCCTGGTGGGTAGACAAAGACTTCGGCCCAAGAAACGTGCGGAGCCCCCTGGCAAGGATGTTACGCGGAATTCAGCGCCACATCTGCCGGCCGGAAAGTGCTTGCGGAATGTTCTTCGGGATTCGTTTGGGAGTTTTTGTTTGTTTAAGTGGACCCCCTTTTGGTTGTAGTTCGGTTGGAAACCAACGGAACACCAACCATTTCAGAGGACCCTGCTTTTGAGTCGCTGGTTGGGGAAGGCATGGGGGTATTACCCATCCCCATTTGACAAAGACACACCACAACCAGACCCGTTGAATATTCGCAGAATTGAAAGCAACAACCCCCCCCTGTTGTCAAACTAAGGGTCACTTCTTGGTATTTTTCTTGGGAAAAATGCGGAACACGGCGGGTCCAAAAAGGGCAATAGTTTTTGACCACTCCACTCCCCACATGTTGATCATGTTTTTCACGGTTCAACCCGGCTTCGGACGTCTAAGGCCAATACACCCGAGCCACCTTTTTTGGTGGGGTCCCGCTTCCTGGATATCCGGACATCGAGACGAGGACCTCTCTGCCAAAGTGTGGCGCGATTTTGTTCCCGTCCATCTGGGGGCCATTGTTTTGACTGTTTTGGTGGGTTATCAGAGTCAGCAATCGGGGGTGTTTCCCTCTAACCTATCGCTTAGAAGATGACTTTGATAGTGATAAAGTAGTGGGACCAGTTTTTAAAACTATATTAAATGACCGAGTACTTTGCCAACGCTGCCAGTTAAGCAACCACTCACAAGACGGTGCAAGCTGAATGCAGTGTTGTTTGCCAGGCTGGATGAACAGTTGGAAAAGTCCAATCAGTTCTTGGTGAAGCTCTGGGAGACGCTGTTGCACCGAGCCTGGGGCATCTTCAGAATCAAGCCAAGGGTTCGGCCAAACGCATCCAGCGACTGTTCGGTTTGTGAGAGCGGCTCTCCTTCCTTTCGATGGCTGGATTTTCTTTTGGACTGGTTTGCTGGTTTCGGGTCTTGACCATGCAAGGAGCCAACGGGTCACTTGTGAAACGCCTGGTCACCTATGGTATGGGCAGGTGCCAATGAGTTCCTCCGGAGGATTTCGACCGCACCTGCCAAGGGAATGAGCATGCTTTATGGAGCTCTGCCATGCGTATCGCCCAGGAACCGACATCTCAGGGCCAGACGCGCTGAAGTATGAGCATGTGACCTTCACCTGGGTGGAGAGCGCAGCGCTAAGGAGTTGAGCCAGAAGGGCCTTTCAATACCTTGGACGGAGTACAAGCAGACCTGGGTTTTGGGCGGAAGTTTCTTTACCGCAGCTATAATCCAGGCTCTTCCCAAACCGCCTCTCAGGCCCTTTTTGACTTGTCAGACCCCGCAGTGCCTTGACTTTGTCGATGGATGAAATTGTTTCGACTTGCAACCTGAGTGACATGACTTCGCTTAAGCCGCACTTCGACTGGCTCGACCTTGGCTGGACCTTAAAATTGACTTCGCGCACAGACGTACTTTGCGGACGTAAGGACACGCAGACATACATGCACACCTGTGGTCACGCTGGAACGGTGCGATTCCAATTGCTCAGAATGCCGGGCAAGCGCTTGGAAGGAGAAACGAAATGCAAAAGAAGAGCAGCGCACATGCTGCTCACACGCCTGCTACCCAGCGTCAGCTGGGGATAGGCGACGAAGGCACGCTCGAATGAGCTCAAGTCAACGGCTGTTGCGTGCCTTGAGCTGGCGAATCAGCGGATTGGGAGCAGCCCCTGTCTTGACCTCTCCCCCCTCCTTTACAAAGATCTCGCTCAAAGCTGCATGTGTTTGTTTGCACTCAAGCCTGGAAAGCTGCGGCCGGACGGATCTTCGCGTCTCCTTTGTCAGGGCAAGCTGGGCTGAGCTGTCCATCTCCAGCATGGTAGGAGCTCTTTTCGTGAAGCTTGAACGTGGATGGAGCTGTCCGCTATCAAAGCCTGAGCACTGTCCCTGTCTAGTGAGGCGGCCTCAAAGGGTCAGGGCCAGATGGGGGCCAGACTCCATAGCCGTCAGAGGCGCTCCCCAGGCGCCGTCGTTAGCTACTCCGCGCCTGCAGTTCCCGGATTCCCCGTTGCTCCGAGCCGCTGTCCGGGGCGCTTGTGCCGAGCCAGAGGCGTCGCTGGACCGCACAGTCCGGACCTCAAGCTGGGCGCTCGAGGGCCATGAGAACTGGCTGCAGAATTTGCTGCAGCCAAGACTTCTTGTTTCATTTGGCGCAAACCTGTGCGCAAGTCTGGGTCTCTTACATGCGACAAGAATGACCTCTGTGAACTCTCCGCCGCGCTGCAAGCACTGTTTGCGCGGAATTTCATGGCATATGAAATGTTTGCGGATGACATGCTGGGAAAACGAGCTCCATCCATGCCATGGCGCTTCGCCGCAACCACAGTAGACCCCGGTTTGCCAGTCTGCGGTAGCCTCTGCCAAGCTTTCCGGCGTGTATACAGACTTACAGGCATACGAACATCATGAACAAAACACAACGGCCTAAGGACATATACAGACACGCGGGCCTGCAGGCATGGCACGGAGACACGAAACACAGACATACAGACACACAGGTGCACGGAAAGACGACTTTTTAGACACGAAATCGTGCAGATGCATGCATGGTCGGTACACACATGCCTGTGTTCGCCTTCATTCGCATACATGATATCATGTGGAAACGTGGACACCCCCATTACAGAAACGCAGTGCTGAGGCCGCGCTCTGTACAATCATGAGGTGGTGTTCTACTTAATCAGCGACTGCCTGCCACTTGTCTTTGTGCTCAAAACGGATTCAAGGGCAAGGCAATGCCCACTTTGGGGGCTTTGCATCCGATGCCCGAGTGGCGCTGACCCAAGGTTTTGCGCAGGGACCTTTCTGGTTGTCAGTATTCTAGCCGCTTGACAGCACTACGCCAGCCCACATGTTTGATTTGTCTCTGTGCCGTGCGGTCGTATCTTGAGAAGAATCGAGATCTGTCGAGATCCCTGTTGCGTTGCGAGAGAGCCAGATGGACTGGGTGAAAGACGCGTGAGCCTGACTTGTTGATTCTTTGCACTGCATTGTGCATATTATATGTATGTATGTATATATATATATATCAAAGCTCGTTTATGAGTTGATTAGCTGGGTGTTACAATCAAGCTCGGCTTCAGCAGAAGTAACCCACCACAGAGTCATGAAAGACAGCTCGCATTGTCCCTGTTGTTTGCCTTCCGCGCTCCAGGTCTGGCATGTGTTGAAGTCGGAGTCGTCTTGATATTGTTATTGTAAGAGGAAGTCTTGTGGGGCCACACGGTAGTCAATTCATGCTGACATTTTTTTAGGAAAAGCTTGGGTCACGAAGTATCGCCAATTGTTTCTTGATAATTTTTGCTTGACATGTTACTTGTCAACTTGTCACCCTTGTTTGGCATTTGCTTTGTTGAGATGTGCATCTGCTACCCAGAAGACTAGACAGTTCTGTTTTTTGTGTTTTTTTTTTGGGGGGGGGAGCAAAACTCCAATGATGCGGCAACAAAACAACAGCAGTGCCCTTCATGTAGTGATGCGCAATCAACTCCAGCTCAACTGGAACTGGCATGCGCTAGAGCATCAGCCTTTGCGCTTCTTGTTTGAACCGCATCTTCGCTGATTCTGGTGCTTTGTAGCTGGAATGGTTTGTCACCCATGGCAGGGCGCAACATGTGCCCAATCTCGGAATCACTGGCAACTGTTTGCAGAGGGCGGGTTCCAAATATTTTGGTGAGACAGCCAATGCGTGCTTTCTTTTCAGGTCCTCCTCCGGCAACAGAACATCTTCATCAGCTTTTTTGGTGTGTTGGGGGTCTTGTTGGCCTTCACCTCGACCTATTACTTTCACTATGCAGTCATGGGGTACAAGAGGCGCAAGGGGCTTGCGCTCAATGATGTGTTGTGCACTTGTTTGATGGCCAGCGAATGTGCTGTTGAAATAGTTCATGTTGCCAGCTTTGCAAGTTGTTTCTGCTTGTGAAGTGCGGTGGTTTGTTTGTCATCTTTTGCTGCGCCTGGTAGGCTAACACTGCTGGACTTCATTTCGCTGTTTCTTATTGCAAGCATTGCTGCGGATGATATCCTGTTGCTCTACAACACTTATCAGCTGGCCCCAGCCTTGCACAGAAAGGAGATGAAGCCAGCAGAAAAGATGAGGTGGGCGTACCGAGAAGCTTCTGCAGCCATGCTGGTCACTTCCGCTACCACTTGCGGCTCTTTCTACGCCAATTTGCTGTCGATTGTCACGGTGGTGAGGGCGTTCGGCTTCTTCATGGGCACGCTGGTGGTTTGGAATTTCCTCAACGTCCTCACCATTTTCCCGTCAGCGCTGCTGGTCAATGACATGTACTTGATCCCCTGCCTGCGCTACTTGTGCTGCTGCTGCTGCAGGGGCACAGGCAATGGGCAGTTTGCAACAACTACTCAGCAGCAAAGTGCCATGGGGCTTGACTTTGGCTTGTTTGAAAGCGAAATTCTGCCCAATTGCATGGGAGACAGATTACCATCGGACCCCGAAGGATTGCATGGCAGCAAATTTCTCGCCTGTGTGACCCGCGTTGAAGGCAAACCTGGTTGCTGGTCGGGCACTTTGCGTCTGAACCGTAGCCAGGCGCGCAGACCATCGATACTGGAGCTGAGACCCCGAGGCCAAATGGAGTGCTGCAGGCGCGAAGACGGAGACACACGGAGACACACGGAGACACACACACACACACACCCACAGGCTCCCACCCATACACACACGCAGGCTTACATAAGTTGGAGGATATGCATTCTTTCTCAGAGATGTCGGTCTATGCCATTTTCGGCTTTCGACTTGCCCACTACGCATGGGATCGGCGCATCATTTGTTCGGGAGTCTTGCGCGGCAAGAAAAAGAGTCGGAACGGATGGTCCAGGGCTTGGCATAGAACCCATCCCATGGCTCAGGGCTATGGCTCAGGGGTATGGCTCAGAAGCAGCGCTTGTGTGCCGTGGTTTTGCCAGGCAGCCTCTCGCCTCGCCAGGCAGTTTTCCAAGGAGGGATCACATTGCATGGGGGCCTGGAGTGTGGGTCTGTCTGTTTATACCCCGTGGTTGGTTTTAAAGGGAAACCTACAGGAAAGCGACCATCTATTTTTTTATTTCTTTGGGGGAGGGGTCCCCTAAAGTTAAAACACACACACACACCAGTGTGCATCGGCGAAGGCAAGCCATCCACACAATCTTGCGGGGAATTTCGCTCGCATGGATCGGAATTGAACCAGGGTATGGACCGCAGGGTTTTCTCCATGTACAACCACCTCCCAGGGCAACCCACTATGAGTTTATGGGTACCTATTTGGGTATGGCTCAAAATTAAAGAGCTAGGGTTACGCAGGTTTTAGCCTTTGGTTCCATTTTCCAAGGTGGCATTTTGGCACCTGTTTCTGTTTTTGAGCCACAGCCATTTTTTGGACCCCCAGCCGAAAAGGGGAACGCCCTTGTGCTTTGGAGGGGAACTTCTGCTTTAGAACGAGAGTAGGGCTCTGGTGCAGGACCATGGCTCGCACTCCGCCATCTCGCTGGAAATCCAGGCGGTTCCTGGTGCCATAGGTTCCGATTTGTTTTGGTTCGGATTTCCGTACGCTGCACGCGGGCCTAAAACTGATACCAAGAGAGGCATGCAAGAAAAGCGTCAGACATGTATGGAATCCTGCAAGGGGATCCCTTGTTGCTGTAGCAATAGCTGCCGGGTCGCATGCATATTTGGCTATGGCAGTTTAACATCGGTGAAACAGCCTGCTTGAGCGGCAATCCAGTTCACACTTTGACGTTTGGCACTAGCCGAGACAAGTCCAAAAGGGTTGGCGCGACAAAAAACAATATCATGTTCTTGGTTGCTGCAGTGATGCTAGTGTGCGACATGTCACGCTTGCAATTCCTAGCTTGGAAAGCCAATGGGTGGGGCAGGCAGAAGTGCAGCATGAGCGCTTGGATTGCATGGAGCGCATGGTGGCCAAATATTTTACGCCTTTCGTGGTGGGAGGCTTAGTGGTGCTGCCGTTGGGCTTGTGCAAACAGGCCAAGCGAGCCCTCTGGCTCGCGTGTCGAGGCCAAGTGTCGGTGGCTGCTGCTGGCTCTGTCCCTGGGCATCAGCGCAACCTTCATTACCTTGGCGATCACCGGCTTTGAGCTTGCCTCAGGCGGAGCGTTTGGCAATGTCCCAAGCGAGGTTGCGTCCAACACGTTGAAGTCAGGGACGAGCTGCATGTGTAGGGTTTTTGCATGAACAAACACCAGCTTCTGTCGCACAGCATCTTGCACCGTTTGAGAGTTTCAACACTCTTCAACAGTGCTGCGCTCCATCAGACGTAAGCCAAGCAGGTAGATTCGGGGTGTTGCAGTTCACATATGTATGGCAGACAGCCTGTGTTTGGAGGCGATATTGTCATCTTCGAGAAGGATGTCAACCTTGGGCGAGTTGAGAAGCCCCTCGGCCCGCTCATGGCTTCCAGCTTGGAAGGGAGGCAGTGCCGTTGCTGAGCATTGCTGTGCTTTTTTGCTGGGTTTGGGGGGGGGGTTTGCCACCGTTCTTGAGTGTTTGTTTCGGACTTCACGTGCCGGAAGTTTCTGCCAGCGGCTTTTTCTTTTGCCCCAATGGCCCTGTGCCTAGCTGTTTGGCCCACGGCTTCTCCATGGGGGGAAGAGTGTCCAATGGATTTTTAGCCCAAGATTCGACATGTTTTGGGAGAGCTGGGAGAGTAGGCTGATTGGTTGGTTGCTTCAGGCTGCAGACCGAGCTCTTCTCTTCATACAACATGCAGGACTTGAACTTCGCATTGGTCTCGAAGCTGCAAGCATTGCTTCGCGGGCGTCGGCCACAAAGCTTCAGCAGGCGAAACACCTCTGTATCACAGGTTGTTTTTCACGGAAGTCCGGCAGCAGGCATTCTCCAGGCCTTTCCAGCAAAGAAACCTGTCCGCGCCAGCTCCGGGGGAAGAAAACAAACACACCTAAATGAGCTCGCAGTCTCAATCAAGCATGTCGGAGGCAAGAAAGAACCATGGGTCGTGGAAGGCTTCACTTTGCGCCAGCTGAGTCTGTGACAAGTCCTCTTTCGCCAACCACGGTGCCCAGTTGCCCCAGGCTGGTGGGAAGGATCTTGTCGGTAGGTTGCTGCGCGCAAGGGGCGGTGTTTGCGGTGCGCGCTTCGAGCCACTTGCGAGGCTGGGAGACAACAATAGCTGGTGTTCAGGAAGCCTGGCTGCAGGGGCTTTTGCCTTTACCCTCCCTCCAAGAATCATGGAAGCTAACAGGAGGCTTTTGGAAGACTACGTTCTTTTTTGGAAAAGCCCCCACTTCCATGATTGTTGGAAAGAGGGGCAGTTTCTCAGGCTTCATCCCCACGAAGAAAAGGAAGCCGGGGAAATCGAGTCGAGAGTCGAGTCGGTTGAATATGGGGCTGTATGTTTTTTTTTTGGTCCCCCTTTTTGGTGGTTTCAGAGGAAAACCAAAGGACATCCACCATTTTGGGGGTCCTTAAAAAACAGACACCCGTATTGGATCTTGTGGCTCTGACTTGCTGTTTAGCCTTTGCAGCGCATCGCTGGAGGTCGTGGCTCCTGCGACACCTTTACCGGCCAGTGCACCTGTCAGGAGGGGCTGCCAGTTGGAAGACTTCCCCAAAGGCTTGTCATGCAGTCGAATGTATTCTATATTAGGACCTTGATGGATAGTTTGGATCGGATGACAAGTAAAGCATCGTTTTCTCGGCTGATCAGTATCGGTTGACTAAACCGAGTTGTTGGTCAGAGCGATCCTCATGTTTGAGCATGGCTCAGTCTGATGCAAGTGCGAGCGCTGTTAAGCGATGCTTTGATCGACACCCACAAACTCAGCTTACACTTTGCCAGCAGCCTTTGTTTGTACTGCCAGTAATGGCGGTGAAGGCAGTTGACGGAAATGATAACATATACTAACTATATCTATCTTGCTCACTCTTTTTGTTTTCCTCCCCCTTTCTTAGTTTGTCTCTTTCTCTTTATCTTTGTCTTTCTCTTCTTCTCGTTCTCTTTCTCTTTCTCTTTCTCTTTCTCTTTCTCTTTCTCTTCTCTTTCTCTTTCTCTTTCTCTTTCTCGTTCTCTTTCTCGTTCTCGTTCTCGTTCTCGTTCTCGTTCTCTCTCTCTCTCTCTTTCTTTCTTTCTTTCTTTCTTTCTTTCTTTCTTTCTTTCTTTCTTTTTGTTCTTTCTCTGTCTCTCTCTCTCTCTCTCCCTCTCTCTCTTTCTCTTTCTCTTTATCGTTATCTTCGTCTTTCTCTTTCTCTTTGTATTTCTCTTTCTCTTGTTCGTTTCTCTTTCTCTTTCTTTCTCTCTCTCTCTCTCTCTCGCTCCCTCTTTCTTTCTCTCTCTCTCTCTCTGTCTCGCTCTCTTTCTTACTCTTCTTTTTCTTTGTCTCTCTTTCTCTCTCTCTCTCTGTTTCTCTCTCTTTATCTTAATTTTTATCATCGTCTTTTCCTTTCTCTTTCTTTTTGTTTCTCTTTATATTGCTCCTTGTCTTCTCTTTTGTTTGTTTTGTCTTTCTCTTCTCTTTTTTCCTCTCTCTCTCTCTCTCTGCCTCTCTCTCTCTCTCTCTCTCTCTCTCTCTCTCTCTCTCTCTCTCTCTCTCTCTCTCTCTCTCTCAGACTTACTCTTTCTTTTTGAGAGCGGGTCGCGTGAGCGTGCTTTTTTTTTTCACTTTTTTTGAGTGGAAACTCGATCAAACAAAATAGACTAACTCTAATTCAAATTTTATTATTACACAGAAGTTGTGATTGGATTCATTCCTTAGCAAATTACGCTTAAAGTCTAATTTATAATTGCAATGTTGTATTGGGAAAATATTTACATCTAAGTCCTAAGTGTAAGATATAATTTTCCGTAGGATTCTGATCAAGTAGTTCCTTATTGAGGCCTACTGAAATCCTATTCAAGCACAAACTGAATTTTAGAAAGCGGCCGTTGGGTGGAAATGTGAATTGAGTGCGAAAAGCGAAAACACAGCTGAGTTCTCTCCTTCTGAAATCTGCTTGATATCTTTTCCAAATCCCAACCCAATGTCTCAATGTTGAACTGAACACAACTCTTTTTTTTGAAAGGAAAGACTCCAATCAAATGATAATCTGCACGGGAATTCTTTTTCCCATAAATTGTACGTACAAGTCAGTAATAAGCATGGACAGTCCGGGGATTGAGCCCGGGGCCTCCCGCATGCTGAGCGGGTGTGATACCACTACACCAACTGCCCCTTGTGGCACATGCTGAATATATTGTCTTTTATGATTTGCCCCCCTTGCTTTGCCTTGCTCTCTTTGCTTTCCTTTCTCTTGTTGTCCCTTGTGTTCCTTTGCTTTGCCTTGCTGTCCCTTGTGTTCCTTTTGCTTTGCCTTGCTTTGCCCGTGCTTTTGCTGCCTTGCTCTCCATTCCCTTTGCTTGCCTTCCCACGCTTCCCTTTGATTGTCCTTCCCTTGCTCCCTTGCTGTCCCTTTCTTTCCCTTGGTTTCCCTTGCTTTCCCTTGCTGTCCCTTGCGGTCCTTTGCTTTCCTTTGCTTGTCCTTGCTTTCCTTTGCCTTGCTTTTGCGTTCCCTTTCCCTTGCTTTCCCCTCATTTCCCCTTGCAGTCCCTTGCTTGCTGTCCCTTGCTTTCCTTTGCTTTGCCTTGCTTTGCCTGTGCTTTCGCTTGCTTTGCCTTGCTGTCCCTTGCTTTTTTGTTGCTGTCCCTTGCTGTCCCTTGCTTTCCTTTGCTTTGACTTGTTTTGCCCGTGCTGTTGCTTGCTTTCCCTTGCTGTCCATTGCTGTCCCTTGCTTTGCCTTGCTTTCCCTCGCCTGGCTTGCTTTCCCCTACTTTCGCTTCCTTTGCCCCCTTGCTTTCCCTTGTTTTGGCTTGCTTTGCCTTGCTGTCCCTTGCTGTCCCTTGCCAGCTTGTCCCAAGTCAGAGCAAACCAACAACTGCGCAACCCTCCTGCACTGAATCACATACAAGCAACAACCCAAACCAGCGCCCGTACTTACACACCCCGTGCCGTCTTTCTGGGACCTGCAAACCAGCCTTGCGGTGGCAGAAAGTGCTCCAAAAAATACTCCCAAAAAATGGGAGTATTTTTCCCGCGACATCCCCAGCATCGCCGACCACCACAAAAACTTCCAAAACAAGCGACATCCCCTGCATCCCCGGCATCCCCTGCATCCCCGGCACCCCTCGCGAGAGCCACAGACGAAAAGGTCAGACATGATAGGCAGCGTCGACGAAAAAGCGCGAAAAACAAAACGAAAAAACACCAAAAACCAGCCTTGCGGTGGCAGAAAGTGCTCCAAAAAATACTCCCATTTTTTGGGATTATTTTTCGGCTGACCAGACCTGCAAATCACCTGGAACGAGGTTACCCCCCCCCCCCCCCCACAACTTCGTACACTAACTCCCAGCGCTTCAAGAAGCGCTTTCCGTCACCGCAAGCTCTGCAAATCCGGTTAGTGAAGCCTGTCAGACGACCTAACACAAGTGAACTACTACTCATGCCGAGACTCATGTTGGAGCGTTCCGGATCCTTTGGCTTGGTATGTTGCAACCCCTGCGCTTTTTTCGCCAGGGCAGCTACGTGGGCCAGGGCTGCTCGGTACCTCTGGCGGCGGGCACCTTGGATGTGGTGTCCCTGCCCTGGCCACAGCAGGAGAGGCGCTTTGTGCCTTGGACTGCCCAAAGGACATGGTTTTTTCAATCGCACAAACAACAAGTAGAAAGTGCCTCTTGGGCCCCTCTTAAAGAGGGCAAGCCGTCACTTATTATGCGAATAAAGTAGGACGAAGTTGGAGCACGGCGGTCCTCGCCTCAATGTTTGAAAAGGGGCTTGGTCCTTCAACACTGCCCCACCTGTTGAAGGGCACCATGGGTCGATCCGCCAGGTGTTGGAATGCAGAGTGGCTTGAAAACAAGTAGCCGGCATTGTGTATGGGATCATCGTGCACGGCGCTTGGGATCATGGGGTCTTTTTGAGTCCGGTTTCGTGAGTCAGGGTTTAGCCAACCCATCCGAAGCATTGTTTAGCCACTCATATTTGAACAGCTTGGGCTACTGAACTGGTTCCAGGCTTGTGTCGCTTACGCGGGTCAGGAGCAAGCTGGCACCCATGACCTGGGTTGGTGCGTGCAGTTTGAGCACGGTCGGGGCAGTTTTGCCTGGTTTATCATGCGAGTTTCATGGTCATGCCCGTGCAGCTGAAATCAATTTCTCAGTGATGGTGGCCTGCACGCAAGCTCTGTAGTGAGAGCCTTCTTAAGAGCTTTGGATCACCAGTTTGGTTTGCACCAACTGGCCACCAGTCAGGAAGCTATACACATCTTGGCGCGGCCGTCAATGTTGCGGAGTCCTGCATCCGTGGAAGCCTCTCTGCTGGTTCTGTTGCAAAACAACGGCGACAACAACGTCGAGTGGTCTGTGTCAGTCAGAGACTTAGAACTGATGTTGCTGCATCCCGGGATGTGTTGTAGCCTTTAACTTTAGTTTGTGGCCAAAGTTGCGAGTGCTTAATGTTGGCTGGGGCCAAAGCCCGCAAACGCCAGGCTTCCTCTTGTGATGGGGCTCAAATATGTGCACTGCCCACCCTTGCCAGGTGTTTTCCAGCTTTTGACGGTGGTGTTCACAGCCAGTTGTGGGGGGTCTCCAGTTCTCTGGTCTGGGTGAGACCCGTTTGGAACAACTCGGCCAGGGTGCCGTTCAAATGGTTATGATATTCCAAATACTCCCTGCAAAACAAACATCTATATGCACCAACCGTTAGTAAGCATTTCTCCAGGTTCCGTCCGCACCCTTTTTGGTTGGGTTTTGAAGGGAAACCAAAGGGACACCACGGATTTTGCGGGGTCCAACCTTAAAAAAGACGAGCAAAGACGAGCCCGTGTGTTGCTAAGTGCTGTCGCTGAGGCCACGGCGGTTTGGTTGGGCCTGCTGCCCACTTCTGGGGTGGTGGAGAAGCGGAGCTTCAGCCGCGCGGACTACGTCTTCCCGGGCGTAGGCCTTGGCCTCGGGCTCAAAATCGGAGATGCGATGGGAGATGCGAGCTCGAGCGGGAGATCGCGGTCGTTTTTTTTCTTTTTTTTTCCTTCTTTTTTTGCCTCCCGGAACCGGTGCGCCTCCTTCTTTTTTTTTGGGGGGGGGGATTTGGCGGGGCTTTGGTGTTTCAAGCTTCCTTGTGTTTTATTTTGTTTTGGAGGGTTTTTCTTGTGGTTTGGCAAGGGAACCATTCGGAGACAAACTCTTGCTGAAGTTCCCGGCGAGGCGGCTTCGAAGCCAGCTACTTCTTGGGAGGCCAGTTTGCGGGGTTCAGCGAGGAGGCGGGTCTCTCTCATGGACATCTGCTGGAACCAACATGGCTGCGGCTCAAAAGACCAGACAAAACTGGAAAACCCTGGTAAGTGGAAACATGGACCAAAACCTGCAGTTTGCCCCTCCTGTTTAATTTTGAGCCACACCCACATAGCTTTGAGGCAGTGACACGGACTTGGAAATATTTGGTCGCTGAGGTGGCATGCGAGGCGGCATGAGATGTCCCGCCCAGGCGACTGCCACAATCAGCTCAGTCACGCCAGGCATTGACGATCAGCAAGTGCCTGGGCTGCAGGCTGCCTTTGATGAAGTCTCAATTGTCATCCTGCCAAGAAATGACATGTGGGTGCTTCTCTTTTTAGGAGGAACCCCCAGAGGTGATTTTCCTGCTGGTTCCACTTCAACACCATCCGAAAGTGGTACACCAAAAAAAGAGTTGTGTTGAAGAAGATCAATCACTTCGATACTTTCACCGTATCAAGGAAACCACATCCGAACGCGAGGCAGGCTTTGAGTGGAGATCGCCACGTGCTGGCTATGGCAGGGTCGACAAAGTTGTTTCCCCACCCAAAGGAACTCACTTCAAGTGGTCAGAACAAAGGCGACGTGTAAGTAATCCGCAGAACAAATTGGGTTGGACGCCTGTGCGGGATTTGGGTGGCTGAACTTGCCCGGAGGTCATCTTCTCCGCCTCTGTACTGCAACCACCTGCGCTCAGCTTGCTTGATGTGCTGGTAGCTGAGACGGTCGAGGAGGTAAACGTCACTCCCATGCTGATTCTCGGCTATGACTTTGAAGCAAATCTGTATCCAAAAGAGCCTTCAGCAGTGGTCAAGTGCGACTGGTGATGGCAATCTTTGTTGTTAAAACCACGCCGACATCTTTCGAGCCTTTGATCCTGACTGCTTTGTCTCTGAGGGAGCCGGCGTTCGCGCTGGATTATGGTTTCAGCGCCTTGTCCAGCACTAAAGACTCAAAGACTTCCCCACCGAACGGTTTTCAGTTCACCGAGAGCCTCCATGACTCCACGAGTTTCAAGAAGTTGTCTCTTGGGAGCACAGGGGGTAGGGTATGCGTGAGGAGCACTTTGGAGGCATTTCGAGGAACATCGCTCATGCTGCCCTTTGGAGTATGGCAACTGGACTCGTTTGGCATTCGACATACTATCATACCATTTCAGCGGGGCTCAGGACTCAGTTGTCTTGGGCGTCCCGAAACCAGCCACTTGTGTGGGAGGTTGTCCAGCATTGCTGGCTCTACTGGCCTTCATGTCTCGAGGTGACGATGACAGCCTGAACCTGGCAGCGCCAGGACATCAAAGCGCACGTGAGAGTTGTGCAAGCGCTCTCAGACTTGGCCGATTTGTATTGGTCTCAATTTCTTGACGGTCCCCAGCCATCCGGTTCCTTAGCTTAGGTTTGTCGTTGGTTCAGTGGTAGTTCTTATCTACGGGATCAGTTTGGGCCGCAGATGTGTATTCCTGCGCATCGGCTCCAGGAAAGCGGCCGCAGCCCAGCTACAACGTGTCGGTGCCTTTCGGGGTCCGCGCCATCGCAGTGCGGCACGTGGCCTACGGCACTGCTGCCGCTGTGGCGGTGGAGGGCGTGAGCAGCAACGGCACCTCCCAGGCCATCGCCCTTGACATAGAGCCACGTGGATCTGACGGGGTCGTTATTGTTTTGGCTCGGTGTTTCATGGTTTCTTTTTGAGCCCATGGGTTGGGTGTGTTTCTTTTGGTCTTGTTTTGGGGGTTGGTCAAAGTTGTTCGAGTCGGTTGGAAGTTGACCCATGAGGGAGTTCTGTGCCGAGCTCTCGCCGAAGAAGCAATCAGGTGTGGGTCTAGCCTGGGGGTGGGATGACAGATTCAACAAAAAGGCGTTGCGGTCATTTCACATGTTTGGGGACATGCGCTCCCGTCTATTTCGCAAGATTGGCTACTTTGCAGAGGGCATGTTTGCAATGTCCGGCATGCACCCAGCAGGTTTGCCAGTTGTGATCGAGGGTGTCAATCAGAATGGGAATACACCGCTGTTTAGGTGCCTCAGGGCTGAGTGGAGATCAGGGTGCTCTCCAGACAAGGAAGCTGCCATCCGAACTGAGGCCTGCTATCAACGTGATCTCCATTACTGTGTCCTCCGCTTTGAGCTACGTGAGCGTCATCTACCACTTAGAGGCAGAATGGCAAGACAGACTTCAAGCCCAATCCATGCATGCTGGCGGTATTCAAATCCGAGCTGCTGTACATTCTGCAGGTTGGTGTTAATTCTAGAGGTAAATTGTATGAGCTTGTGCTTGTAGGTTGTGTTAGGAAACAGCTACACTGACCAAGATGCCAATGGCAGAGCTCTAGTGATGTTGGCCGTGGCTCGCATACTCAAATCTGAGATTTTTTCGCAATCCCTGCGCTGGTTTTCTGGCTACCTCAGCTTCAAAGTGAAATACACCGCAGGTGGTCCGTGAATCGACAACAACAACGACCACGCTGCCTCCAAATCTCATTGTTGGTGAGGTGAGCATAGACGTGTCGAATTGCAGCTTCCTCTCCACAGATGAAGCTGCTTGAGTGCAAGAATGGGCGTTGCAGTCACTGGCTAGTTGGGACCCAGATGGGCGCCGCTTGATTGTGAATCCAACGTTTGGCCCCCAAACGAGCTGCCAAGATTGGGATTCGTGCATTTAGGGATGTGCAACCCTGAGCCACCCTGCCGCGTTTTCGGGGGATTCCTGTTGTAGACATGCTGTTCGGGATGTCTCGACAGATTCCCGAGAAACTTGGTTTCGCTTTCGGCTTTCTTCCATCAACCTGACGACTTTCTTTATCCCCTTCCGAAGAGTCTTGTCCGACTCGCCATCGTCCAAGTCCATAGCGCATTTGGATCATTTGGATCAGACTGGATCAGACATCTGGATGGCCATTGAGGCGCAGGTTTGGTTTCACCCGCCAGGCTGGCCCGCCTTTTTGGCTTTCCCTCGGCTTCGCCAAACGAGGCCGCGCAGGGGGACCTCGCGGGCGGCCTGGCGGCCGCGGCCGAGGTCCCGGCCGGCGCGGTGACGGTGGACGTGAGGCCGGATGGGAGGCGGTGGGTACTTGGTGGCGAAGCCAGCCATCCGGTTCCTTAGCCTTTTGGCTTTTGAGTGTTTAGTGGTAGTTTCCGAATTTAACCCACGAAAAGTTAGTCACTTTTAGCGGGGGATCTGAGGGCAGCCCAGGGAATCTGAGGGAGGTGTTTTTGGTTTCCTGCATTGACCGCTTTAGGGGATCCGGGCCCAATCCCTGCTGCATCCCTGCTGGTTGGTTTCCGCATACCCAAACTAGAACGGGTGAGCGAGACTGAGGCACATCGCCAAGCCAAAGTCAGTGCCTAGCATTGGAAGGGGCTGAAGGGCTTGGCTGGTTTCAAAGAAACCAGCCATTTGTGGGTCCCCAACTTTTCGAGAAGCAAAGTCTTAATGGAAGGTCTAAGCTTTGGCCGAAACGTGGAAGTTCCTTTGGCTCCTTCCCACTGGCCAGGTGCAGCCGGCGTTTATCTGAAGAGCGGCAGCTGCAGTCGGGCGGAAATGTGGTCTACGAGATGCTGTTGCCAGGCTGGGGTTAAGCCGAGACGTTTTCGTCGGGAACTCAGTCAAGTATCGTCGGTTGTCTTTCCCATCTACCACAAGGGATCTGGCCATGTGAGCTCATGTCACCTAAAAAGAATACTGGCATGTTTCAAAATGCAAGCCCTACTTTTGGATGGCTTCAAAAGCGAACAGCCACCAGTGATCTGTTGGAACAAAATGCAAGCCGAGAGGAAGCCAACATGAGCAGGTGGGCCTGAGTTACTAGGGCGGCGCTCCCACCATGAATGGATTTGGCCGTGGTCATCACGAAAGGGTTGTACGTGTGGGACCAGAGCAGACTGAACGGGAGACAAACACTCATAAGTTTATTGTTCCATGCAAGCGGGACTTGCGCAGCCCCTTTCCCAGACAAATTTCGATTTTTCTCACCAAACCCCTTTTTTTTGTTTTTTGTGTAGGGCACCCCTTTTGTGGCCATTTTGACTGCCGCCCCCTTTTGGCCGTTGTGGTGCACCCGCTTCGCTTCACGTGGCGTCAGGGGACTTGGATCTGGTGGCGACTCTGCAGCGCCTCGAGGAGCAGAGCCCCAGCTCGCTGACGCAGCGCCTGCAGGAGCGGTCTCGACGGACTCACTCGCGGGCGGGGGGCTCGAAGGTCGAAATGCCGCGCAGGTCCTTCGGTCCTTCTCGGGACTTTAAAAAGCTCGCCGTGGTTTGGTTTTCAAGAGTCTTTTTTTTGGTGAGGTTTACACGTTCTGGGTGGCAGGTAGCTGGTTTCGGTCGCAGTACTGTCATTATATACATATATAGGCATATATGTGTATGGTATGTACAAGTAAACCTGCCTGGAAATGTGTTAGGATGAGCTGGAGCCTTTGAATGGCTGGCAGATGTGCTGAACCAAACTAGCTGAGCAAGTGACAAGTTAAGACATGTACGGTGAAATTGGAAACCTGCCACATTGCCCGTTATTGCTGCTGGCCGAAAGAAGCTGGCCCTTTGACCACGGCAAGTTCTTTTCAATGTTGGTTGTTTCTTGAGTATAGACTCTGGCATGACATGCTTGAAATTCCACCCCGGCCTCTCAAGCAAAGTCTTTTCTAGAAACCCGCCTTCTAGAAAGGGGTTCACATACTTCACAGGGAATGCACACGGAGCGCATCATCCAACTCACACCGGCACAAAGGATAGAGAAAGATCCATGCGGGTGTTTGGACATTCCCAGCCTTTGATTGGCCCCAATCTCATTTGTCGCCTCCTTTGATCGCTATGTCCCCCCTTTTCGATCTCTTACCATTCTTGTTTTGACCGCTTTGCTTGATTCAGAGCCATCCTTTTCCATTCATATTTTGGAGATCCCCGCAGAATCGACAAGGGGCGAACTAGTCCTCGGCACCTGGTTCCAGCATCTAAGGCTTGTAGGCCTATCCATTATGCTTCCAAATTTGGTAACTTGCACAATTACCAGCAAACAAAGACCGCCAGCTGGTCAGCGACTCACATATGAAAAACAAACACGCAATCACACTGGAAAGGCATAACCAGCAAACATGATGTGGGTCCAATTCCGTATATTGCCCCCTGCCTGTTGATGATCTTTTGCCAACACATCGGCTTCGTGTGGCGGCTTGTGGCATAGCCTTTTGCCAAACTTAGGAAGCCAACTTTGCCCGCCTTCCTGTCAGGAGTCCTTGGCTAACGGCACATCAGGGCTGGTAATTACTGTCACGGCCATCTCTCCGTTGCAAGTCAACCCCACCACCACAACTTTGGAGCCCAACGCCACCACCACTGCCACCACCATCACCACCACGAGCGAAAGCACAACAACCACTACCCGCACGAGCACATCCTCCAGTAGTACCAGTATGAGCAGCAGCAGCTCGACAGCCACCAGCACAAGTGCCACCAGCACCAGTGAAACATCCACGACTGTCACGGGCACGGTAACCACCACCACCATTACCAGCACGTCAAGCAGCAGCACGTCAAGCAGCAGCACATCAAGCAGCAGCACGTCAAGAAGCAGCACATCAAGCAGCAGCACGTCAAGCAGCAGCACGAGAAGTACCAGGACTACCTCCACGGCGACAGTGGATCCGGCATTCTCCACCACTGCCACGACATCCACTCGAAGCACCTATACCAGCACCAGTGCAAGCTCCACGACAACTGCCACCACAGCCACAATGACCAGCAGTACTGCAACCACTTTTACGTTGACAACGACGAGCATCACCGAAACCACTTCTACGTGGTCAACCACGACAATCACTAGCAGCACTTCCACTCAAACGACGAGCAGCAGCACCAGCACCAGCAGCACCAGCAACAGCAGCACCAGCACCAGCAGCACCAGCACCAGCAGCACTAGCACCAGCAGCACTAGCACCAGCAGCACCACCAGCAGCAGCAGCAGTACCAGCGGCACCAGTACCAGCAGCAGCAGCACCAGCAGCAGCAGCACTAGCAGCACCAGCAGCACTGCCACCGTTACTAGCACCTCCACCACCAGCAGCTCTGCAACACTGACCATCAGCAGCACCACTACTCAATCCACAAGCATCACTATGACGAGGACAACAAACACTATCACTACAACGAATGGGCCTGGGACGGAGACTACAACAACATCACAGACTCGAACAAGCTCAACAATAACAACAAAGACCACCACAACAACATCACAGACTACAACAAGCTCATCAACAACAACAAAGACAACAACAACAAAGACCGCCACGTCTACGACATCAACAAGCACAACAACAAGAACAAAGACCACCACGTCTACGACATCATCAAGCACCACAACTACCACAACCTTGACTGTGAGCCAGACTCAAACCAGCACGAGCAGTACCACGTCCAGCAGCAGCACAAGCACCAGAAGCACGCAGACAAGCACCAGCGGCACAAGTACCCTGCAAAGCACTTCCAGTAGCCGCACTTTCACGTCAAGTAGCACACTCACAAGTAGTGGCACTTCTGTCACCGGAACCACCACAAGCCTCACTGGCACTACAAGCAGCAGCACAATCACATCCACCACCACACTTTTGGACTATGTATTCTCAGGCTCGTTGTCTCTGGAGACTAGTAACTTGGCTGAATGCAGCATGCGACATGCGAAGACCCTTGCACGCAAGCCGTGACCTACCTCATTTGTGCGGAGCTTTTGATACTTTCGTTTGGCATGCTGTACCGATACAACTCGACGATCGCTTTACCGCTTGTGTTATTTTGACAGGGTTAATAGGAGGTAGAACTGGACCAACTTTTCAGGTGTCGCTTGGCTATTGATGTTTGTGGCCATGACTCGCTGCAAAACGGCTATGCCGTCCGTTTTGCCGAATGGCAACGGACGGATCAAGGCAACTGCACTGCCTTGGAAACGCCGGAGGGCCAGCAGGGCTTGGAGAAGGGCATTGCAGAGGCGGACAGAACGACAGGTTGAGAAACTTGCAGTGTGGCTGCAAGGTTTCCAGGTTTCAGGCTCCAGTAGCCGCACCATGATTCGGTTTCCAGGTACTTAAGGTAAGCAAGTCGTTGTGGATTGAATTCTGAATTGCCTTGAGCCGGAAGTTGAATCGCTCTCTCCCTGCATCAATGCACCTTCGAGTCACTTCAAGTAGCCAAAACTGACAAGCCAGATGAGTCCCCTGAACTCGGGACGTCCTTGCCCCAAGCCCAACAGGTCGCAGTGGTGGACCCCAGCTATGTGGATGTCACAGACGTGGCCTGCAGCCGACGTCTCGTGGCTCGCCAGAACTTGGTGGAGCTTGCGGTTGCCGCATGAGACTGGTCTACTGTTGGACGCTGTCCAAGCTTTCCCAAGGAAGAAACCAAACAGTTCTCACCCCATGTCCAACAACAGCAACAGCAACAACAGCAACAACAACAGCAGCAACTTGAGCAGCAAGAACCGCCATTAACATGTGCTAAATGAGTATTACAATCAAATGGCTAACAGCTACATATGTATGTATGTATGTATGTATGTATGTATGTATGTATGTATGTATGTAATGTGTGTATGCATGTATGTAATGTAATGTAATGTAATGTAATGTAATGTAATGTAATGTAATGTAATGTAATGTAATGTAATGTAATGTAATGTAATGTAATGTAATGTAATGTAATGTAATGTAATGTAATGTAATGTAATGTAATGTATGTAATGTGTATGTATGTATGTATGTATGTATGTATGTACATGTATGTATGTATGTAATGTAATGTAATGTATGTATGTAATGTAATGTAATGTGTAATGTAATGTAATGTAATGTAATGTAATGTAATGTAATGTAATGTAATGTAATGTAATGTAATGTAATGTAATGTAATGTAATGTATGTAATGTATGTAATGTAATGTATGTATGTATGTATGTATGTATGTATGTATGTATGTATGTGTATGTATGTATGTATGTATGTATGTATGTATGTATGTATGTATGTATGTATGTATGTATGTATGTATGTATGTAATGTATGTATGTATGTATGTATGTAATGTATGTATGTATGTATGTATGTATGTATGTATGTATGTATGTATGTATGTATGTATGTATGTATGTATGTATGTATGTATGTATGTATGTATGTATGTATGTATGTATGTATGTATGTATGTATGTATGTATGTATGTAATGTATGTATGTATGTATGTATGTATGTATGTATGTATGTATGTATGTATGTATGTATGTATGTATGTATGTATGTATGTATGTATGTATGTATGTATGTATGTATGTATGTATGTATGGTATGTATGTATGTATGTATGTATGTATGTATGTATGTATGTATGTATGTATGTATGTATGTATGTATGTATGTATGTATGTATGTATGTATGTATGTATGTATGTATGTATGTATGTATGTATGTAATGTATGTATGTATGTATGTATGTATGTATGTATGTATGTATGTATGTATGTATGTGTATGTATGTATGTATGTATGTATGTATGTATGTATGTATGTATGTATGTATGTATGTATGTATGTATGTATGTATGTATGTATGTATGTATGTATGTATGTATGTATGTATGTATGTATGTATGTATGTAATGTATGTATGTATGTATGTATGTATGTATGTATGTATGTATGTATGTATGTATGTATGTATGTATGTATGTATGTATGTATGTATGTATGTATGTATGTATGTATGTATGTATGTATGTATGTATGTATGTATGTATGTATGTATGTATGTATGTATGTATGTATGTATGTATGTATGTATGTATGTATGTATGTATGTATGTATGTATGTATGTATGTATGTATGTATGTATGTATGTATGTATGTATGTATGTATGTAATGTATGTATGTATGTATGTATGTATGTATGTATGTATGTATGTATGTATGTATGTATGTATGTATGTATGTATGTATGTATGTATGTATGTATGTATGTATGTATGTATGTATGTATGTATGTATGTATGTATGTATGTATGTATGTATGTAATGTAATGTAATGTAATGTAATGTAATGTAATGTAATGTAATGTAATGTAATGTAATGTAATGTAATGTAATGTAATGTATGTAATGTATGTATGTATGTATGTATGTATGTATGTATGTATGTATGTATGTATGTATGTATGTATGTATGTATGTATGTATGTATGTATGTATGTATGTATGTATGTATGTATGTATGTATGTATGTATGTATGTATGTATGTATGTATGTATGTATGTATGTATGTAATGTATGTATGTATGTATGTATGTATGTATGTATGTATGTATGTATGTATGTATGTATGTATGTATGTATGTATGTATGTATGTATGTATGTATGTATGTATGTATGTATGTATGTATGTATGTATGTATGTATGTATGTATGTATGTATGTATGTATGTATGTATGTATGTATGTATGTATGTATGTATGTATGTATGTATGTATGTATGTATGTATGTATGTATGTATGTATGTATGTATGTATGTATGTAATGTATGTATGTATGTATGTATGTATGTATGTATGTATGTATGTATGTATGTATGTATGTATGTATGTATGTATGTATGTATGTATGTATGTATGTATGTATGTATGTATGTATGTATGTAATGTATGTAATGTAATGTATGTATGTATGTAATGTATGTATGTATGTATGTAATGTAATGTAATGTAATGTAATGTAATGTAATGTAATGTAATGTAATGTAATGTAATGTAATGTAATGTAATGTAATGTAATGTAATGTAATGTAATGTAATGTAATGTAATGTAATGTAATGTAATGTAATGTAATGTAATGTAATGTAATGTAATGTAATGTAATGTAATGTAATGTAATGTAATGTAATGTAATGTAATGTAATGTAATGTATGTATGTAATGTAATGTATGTATGTATGTATGTATATTATACAATATATGATCCAGTCTTCCTTGGCCCCCCCCCCCTCAATGGTCATGCTCAGTCAAGAAGATGTCACAGTGTGACCGTACAACCCGGGTCTATGGTTCCCACCGGCTCCCCAGTTAGAAGCCCCCGCCCCCCTGTGGGTGGGGGGGGGAGTCCACGGTTCCACCGTACCAGCCCCCCGCCCCCTTGGGGGGTTGGTATACAAGGCATGTAGCACAGTGAAATAGTACAGCCCCTGTACGATGGGTGGGGGGGTGGCGGGGTCCATTGTTCTCCCCCCCCCCCGCCCCTGGATAGACCCATACCATTGGGGGGGGGGGGTGCTGGGGGGGGTGCTGGGGACGACAGGCGACGGGAACATATATATATATATATATATATTTGTAGGTAAACATCAGCTGGGAGTCTGTTTGTGGACAGGCCTTGCCTCGGCTTAGGCTCTGGATGATTCGCGGAGGCTGCGGAGGCCTCAGGTGGAAAGCCTGTCCCGTGGGTCCCACCTTGGATTTGGTTCGGTTAGGTAAAAATAGACCCCCGCTCCAGGGTTCGATGTTCAAAAGAATGGCTCACCCCAATTTGGATGAAGCGTTTTAGGGAAACAGTTTTTTTGTGCGCCCCAGATTTGTAGCGGTGGTTTGAATCCCAGGGTGGACACGGTTTGTGTGGGCCGAATCCCGCATGAATTAGGAGGACCCGCTATAGTGGCCAATCGGAATCAATTTTGGGCGCATGTGCCTAGATGGGTCCGTGGAGATTGGGGATGTGAAGTTCACATAGCACATATTTGGGTTGATCAATATTCCTGCCCCCCAAATGCCCGTGGGTAAATTTTCCCATTTAATGGGACATATCATTGTTGTGGTGGTTTTCCTGGAATGGTCATCCCATGTGAAGGAGCAGTTGATCAACCCCCAGAAGCAACCTGATGGCCGAAAACTGCTGCCAGAGATGCGCGACTCCCTGACTCCCTGACCTGATCTCAGGTCAGAAGTAGTGGTGGTGGGGTACATCATTGATTTGCCGCCAACCACGACGGATGCAGCCATAGTTTTGGGAATCGCTGCGCAGAGCAACCTGCAGTCCGAAGCTCTGAGTGCAATGGAGCTGCGTTCCTTCTGGTATCTTTTGTTTTTGGCCTCAGGAACAGGCTTTCACTCAGCTTCCCTCGAATTGGTGGTTCGGGGGTTAAGGGGCGGTTTCCAATACACTATCAAGGTTCAAGTGACCTGATTCACTTGCGACGGTTGCGCCGCGATCCCAGCACTCCACAAGACCCTGGCGTAACCACAGGCAAAACCTGGAGGGAGTCCTGACTCCTCTTCCTACGGGTGAAAGTTGTGGCAAGGGAGCTGCAGCCACCATGGAAAAGTCGTCCGCTGCACCATCTCAGCAGTGTGATGCTTTTGCTTGGAGGGCTTCATCAGTATATAAATGCCGCTGCTCATTCACGTTTTTTGCTCGTAAAGAAGCGTCACACGAGGTAAACGCGGCATACGGTTCTTGCCGCTCGTGCTTGGCCTTCAGGAGAGTCTGCAGTCGCTGGGACAGACGCTGGAGCTGGCGCTGGTGTCCGCTGGGGTCCCGTTGTCTTTGAACGTCACGCAGCTGGGCGACTTTGCCCTTGCGGAGAAGACCACCACCACCAGCACCACCACCACCACCCTATACTGCCCTGGTGAGCCGGTGTGCGGTGGGATCCAAGGCGACTGTGTGGTGGCACCCCCAGGCGCGAAACTGGAAAATCCTGTTCGTGTAGGGTATGCAAATTTCGTGATTTTCCGCGGCACAGTGTGTCCAATGTTGAGAGAACCGTGAGACCTTTCCGCCAAAACCATCGGTCATATCCCGCCCTTCGCAGGAGACCCGCGGCATTGGGTGTGCCAATGCCAGGAGACCTACGATGGCGAGAACTGCTCTGAGCGGATCTGCCCGAGCTGCCAGAACAACGGCACCTGCGACGAGGGCCTTTGGGGCTGCAACTGCACGGCGGAGTTCCAGGGCGAGCGCTGCGAGCTGCTCCGCTGCCCCAAGGACTGCAGCGAGGCCGGGGACTGCGATACCTACACGGGCAGGTGCGAGTGCTACAGCGGCTACGCAGGCGGGAAGCGCTGGGTGGCTGGTCCTTCTTTGAGGAGTTGGTACCTGTGTTTTGTGGTTTTTAAGGGAACACCCGAGGGAAAACCACCATTTTAGGGGGGTCCCCGCAAAAAAACACCCCTATGTACTTCTGGCGAGCGCCTTGCGATGAGCTAGGAAGAAGAGGAATTCGAGATATCTCAGGGTCTGTCAAGGCACACGAGTCGGCCACCTCAGAGTCCCTCAAGGGAAAACGTCTTTCCTGTGTGAACTGTGTGATCAACACAGTGCAAACCAGCGGTTGTTAAAGCATCAACTCCGTCAACAAGCTGTTCAGGGAGCAAAGCTCCCTGCGTCACCCCACACTAGGCATGTCTCTTTTTGGCTTGCTTTGGCATGTGGCCAGGTGAGGACTGTTCAGAGGAGCCCACTCAGCTGGTTCCCATCACAAACTGCATCGAGATCATGCTGACCTGGGGCCTCAAGGGCTACGAGGCACCGCTGCGAAGCGGCGAGCCCGAAATTTCTCCAAGCAGCTTCCACCACCCCAAGGAAACATAGCCAGAGTGGCCAAAGTCGTATCTGTCTAAGTTCAGCAAGTTCACTGTTCAGGGATGCGAAGGTTGCAAGTGCAAAGCTTGCACCAAGCTTGGCAGGTGGACAACACATCTGCAGCAGTCTTTGAGCAGGCGTTTGACCTTTTTGCACCGGAGGCTCAGGCCGGACGGACGGAGCACAAGGTTTGAACGTAGAGTGATGCGACGGCGTGAGGGATTCTTGCTGTAAATCTTGGCACTTCCGAATTGTCTCCATTTTGCCAGGGTGTGTGTGTGTGTGTCAAATAGCTTATTGTTTGGATTCCCTTCAAGTGCCAACCGTTTCCTGGTGGTTGGCCAGGTGGGCTGGTTGAAGGGTACTCCTGAGGTTGTGCAGTGGCAGGAGCCCAGATCACGGCTTGTCGTGTGTGATCTCTTCTTATCAAAAAGACGTGCAGTCGTGCGAGGCATGGTTGCTGGAGACCTGTGCAGAAGCGCGTGTGCGAGAGGACCTCATGGTGCGGTCGCCCAGGATTCGTGCTAAATGTGGCAATGCGGCAATGCTTAAGCTTTTCTACTCCCTCAGCTGATTAGAACAAATGGAAAGCCTTTGTCATTGCGACAGGCGTTTTGTCATGGTTTTTCATCATTTGCGCATCTTTGAGAGGCGCCGTGCAAAGCGGTTTTTGTTGTTTTGGAATCCTCAATGTATGCAACAAGAGAGTAGGGACGTGAGAGCTGACATTCCAAGTTAGGTTCGAAGCTGCCCACTTGCTCTCAGCCTCACTGAAACTGATTTGAACAAAGGTAGGCATACCGCGCTGGACATGCCTACTTTACTAGTGGCTACTTTCTAGACTCTGTGGCAGTCCACTAGATGTCTCAGTCTTGCGCAGAGTGACACTGAGGGACTGACACCTGAAAAACATGGGGCAAACCTCGCATCCAAGCGCTGCATTTGATGCGGGGGAGGTTTTCATGGTTCAGGACGTAGTTGAGAGCCCAAGGATGAGCACTCGCTTGTCAACTAGGAAACCAGCAAGCGGAGTGCTTGCATATGGCTGCACATTGGACATGTACCAATGAATATTTTCCGGAGAAGGACTGACAGCACAGCAAGGCAGAGAAAATCGAGTTTGAAAAGGGGCTTACTTGTTTGTTCGAGTGCAGAGAGCTCACTGACCAAGTCTGGGGATAAGAGCAATGGTTTCCATTCGGCTAATGAGGCCATGGTACCAGGGTTCTCCACTCGCACTCATGCGCACGAGTGAGGTTCGAGAACAGCTGGTTTGCTGGATCGAAGGCGGCTCCGCTTGGTGTGGGCCATTGGCATCTTTCTAGGGATTGATTCTCCATTGTTTTCAACTTTCGTTCTTTTCAAAAGCCAGCCGTTTTGCCTGGGTTTCTGATGGTTTCATGAAAAGAAGGATGCCTGGAAAGAGTGGGAAAGCTTACCCTATGATTTTCCCATCACGCTTTCCGAAGGGTTCCTTTTTGTATCTAAACCTCTTTTGTTTGAGGTTTGTTGAAGGCATGAGGTGGAGCACCCTGGAACGGGCTCGCATTTCTTGCAGTTAATGTTGCAAGGAGAAGTCCTTCCATTGGGATTCCCAGCGCCAAATGTGGCCGCGGGTCAACACCACCAATGGGATCCCATTTTGGGGGGTTTTCGGTGCACCACTCATTTTAGAATCTATTTTAATGGGGATTGGGATGTTCACTGGGGGTCCGATTTGGATTTTGACCCATGGCCATATGATTTCTTTTCTTCCGAAGGAGTCGAGAAGTTTTTCATTTGGCAGGCAAAGCGCCACGGGTGCTTCAGATCGTTCTGTTGTACAGCACGCATTTGCAGATGGTCAGGAACAATATGGATGGTGTGTTGGATCAGCGGTAGACCAGATCCCACATCCACAAGAGTCATCAAGCATGAGATGTGTTGAACCGAACCTGAACAGATGGGATGATGCATTGGTGCGTTGCCGTGCTGGGAGAGGGGGTGATGGAGCTTCGGTGTGTCACAAAACATTTGATACATTTCGCTACTTCCGTCTGCTCTTAAAAGCGCATTCGCGACCCCAGCCTTTGATCCCTTAGTTTCCAGAGCTTTACTCTTGCCATTTGACAGTTGCAATGCACACATGCGCTTGGCATGTCCATGGTTTCCGGGCACGGCTCACTTTATTTTGTAGACGAGGTTGCATGAAGACAAGGGGAGCGTTCCAGAACTTTTGTTTCTGAGGTCGGAGGTTTGGCAGCTCTTGAGCGTTTGCCCATTTCAAGACGAGCAGCCCCTCATTTTGCCCCGCCCATAGGGCATGCACATGTTCCGCCTGTGCAGGCTGGGAGCGGTACCTCCGCTCGGTGGATGGTGAGTTTCCAGTTCCTTGGGCTGAAGATCGCGGTAGAAGCCAAGAAAAAGGCTTAGTTTGTTGGAGATCTTGCACCCCTCAAGCAGAGGAGCACTGCAACTGAGTAAACAAGATTTGTCCACCCGCATTTTCCCATGTCCACCCGCAGTTTCCCATGTGGCTATGGGTCAAGACTTCGTACCCCCCGTGAACATCCCAATCCCCACTAAAATAGGTTCTAAAATGGGTGGTGCAGCACCTACCAACCGAAATGGGATCCCAAAACGGTGTTGACAACCACGGCCATGTCCTCCCCGATGGTTCAGCCAATACCGTTGCTTGAGGCATTCTGCTTGGCTGTTAGGACTTTAACTTGTTGCCAACTAGTGGGTTTTCCACCAAACCACTAAAAGTTCAGCTTCTAGCAGGGGAGCAGAAAGCAACCGAGGAGTTGCTTGAGGCATTTTCCCGTGTCTGGGAAAAAAGGTTTCAACACCTCGGGACGCCCAGGTGGAGAACCCTGATCTGGCCTCCCAGGGTCTCCAGGCGCGACAGCCCAAAGGGATGGCCTCAAGGAGTGGCCGATTTTTCGCACAAGCCCGGACACAAGAGATATGGCTGCGGTTGTCAAAAATAGGGGAAAACCCAAAATGGCACCCTGGTAAATGGAAACAATGACTAGCACCTGTGGTCCAATTCCTGGTGGTTTAAGTTTTGACCCATACCCATGATCATAGTGTAAGAGCTTGCCAGGGTTCTTGAAAGGCAAGCCAGTATGCGTTGGCATCGCTCCCTTTCCCGTAGCCGGGTTGAGGGGCCAGTTTGATCAGAGATTCAGGTGCTTTGCAAATTCCCCAACAGTAGCACCACACTTAGTCGGATGCTATCAATGTCAGAGCCAGAATCAAAACCCGGGTAAGTGAGGGATATTAAGGGCCAGTCCCAACCATAAATAGGTGGGGCCGCCTTCGAAACTCTTTACATGATTGTGGATTCACCATCTTTGTACCAGGCTTGGATTGTGACTCAAGAGACTCTAAGGGTCCCGACCCCCATGCAACTGGCGTGCTGCGAGGGTGGGGGGCGTGGTCCGAGGGAGGGATGAGTTCTTCCATGTCTGCGAGGATTGGGAGTCAGAGGTGACTGGTGGGTCTTTCCCATTGCAACAGTCTCCCGCGGCGATGTGTTTAAGGGGACGGGATTCCGTTTCTGGCTTCTTCCCTCCCTGTGCTTCCCGGCGTTTTTCTTAGGTCCTTCGCGTCTCTTCGCCAGTCTTTCTTGTGTCGGATTTTGCGCGCCAAGCGGACTCCTTTCACTGCCAGCGATGCGGGCCACATCTCGATGCATTTGCCCGGGGAAAGATCTGCGGACGATGGACTGATTCTCCTTCTTCCCGATTCACCTTACGTTCGTGTCTCGCAAGCAATTGGTTCCTGCCTAGCGATAGCCATTTATTGCAAGCTTAGATTTGCGCATTTTTTCCGCTTCCCTTGAAATGGTGTAGAACATGATCAGTATACATATCTTTTCATGGATCTATATATATATATATATACACATGTATTTGGGGAGGCAGCAAGCTCGGTTTTCTCGGAGCTTGGGGGCGAATCCCTTGGGGCGCCGGAAATGCGTTGGCAGGCGTTCATGCACCTGGAGGCAGCAGCACCTTTCCTTGGGCTTGATCCTTGGAGGGTTGTTGCAGGGTGCCCTGGACCCTAAGTCAAAGCCCCAAATCGGAGCTCCCGTCCCATCGACAGACAACAGACCAGGAAATCAGTTTTCTTCATGTGTTCCAGTTTTAGTCTGGCGAGCCGTGCTCATGGCACGATCGGTCTGTGTTGTGCCGAGGGATGTGGCCACCGACCAGCCAGACTATGATGGGCGACCGTATTTTGCCCGTGTGAGGCTGACATCTTAGCTTCATAGTGGCTGTCAAGAAAACGTGGTTGCGAGCAGATGGTGCATTTCACTCGTGAGGATTTGTCGCGTCTGTCCCTGAGGCTCAAAATTAATGTGGCCATGAATGATGCGACGTCCTACAGGAGCCTTGGTTGATACACCTACGGCTTGTAGTGCAGAGTAGTGCACGGCTCGTGACAGGTACAGCTAGCGATCTCAACGTATCTCAAGCATGAGAGGCGAACATCACTGATAATCACTGTCACGGTTACGGTCTTGCATTCTGCATGCTTCACGTTTTTGACAGCCTTGAGAGTGAGAACGCGCAACAACCATTGCCATCAAACAATTGCGAATACCCTCCGAAACAGCACGCTTCTGAATGTGGTGGGGCCTCAAATTGTCAAGCTCACTAGAGATCAGCAGCGGGAAGCATATTCGAGCTCGGTTTGAGATGCTGCTAAGGACAGAGGTGCAAGAACGATGGGCTGACTGGGTGGAAGCCCGAAACGCCAGAGCACCTGCAAGCGCCACTGAGCTGTGTTGGTGACACATCATGTTCAAGCATTGATCATACCAAATCGCTGGTCCTTCCCGGCAGGAGACAAGCTTAGCTTACTGTTTAGGCTAGATATGCCCCCCCTGGCCCAAACCTTTTCAGCGGACTGTGAGCTTTTTGAGCCGCCTCAGGCCGGTGCGATGCTGATGGTATCCGTCACTTTTACGCAGATGGAGTTGGAGAGTCAGGCCGCGGAAGGGGGTCATAGGAAGACAGTCATGCCACATTTCGCGCTTCCGCGACCTGGAATGCCAATAGATGGCCTGAAGAGGCATCTTCCCAAGTTTGGCTGTCTGAAATCCCCGGGCCATTGCTCAACAGAAAGAACGCCCGTCGATTTTGTATGTCTATTTCTTCAGGGCCCCTTTTGGTTGGCTTAGGAAAACAAAAGACGCCAAACCTGTTTTGTGTCTCAGTTTGAGGCTTGGAAGCAGTTGGCTTCAACCCATTGGGAGACACGCATTTTCGGACACCCACCTATGTTTACGCATACCCCAATTTGGCGGCCGAGCCGCGGCTCGGCCGCCGGCGCTCACCACGCGAGCGTGGGTCTACCGTGCGGTCGAGCGGTCGAGCGGTCGAGCAGTCGAGCGGTCGAGGTGTTGGCGAGCACCTTCATGGCCTTCGGCGGGTCCATCACCGTGTCCATGGTGGCGGTGGCCATCTTTACGCAGACACCTGGCCGTCGGCGCGCGCATGGCCATAGCCAACCCCCAAGCCCTAAACCCTAAACCCTAAATCTATAAACCCCTCTGGATTCTCCTCTGAACACTTAAGGGTGGTTGTTTTGGTTTTGTTTTTTTGCAACCTAGCTTTTGTGTGATGACATCTTCCGTAGCCGAAGAGTATAGCAGGTCGGGAGAAGCTCCTTAGTCCTTGGCTTGGGTTACGCAAGGAACCGGTCCCCTTTCTAGTGGCTTCCCTATTGGGATCGTGGAACATCGTATTGGCCAACCCGAGCCATTTTTCACAGCCCGGTACGATTTCAGCCCGGGATACGTCGCAACCGCCTGAGTCCCCAGGTCTCGATTTTTCGCTTAGGAACCTCATCCTGGCGCTCTACGTTTGCCTCAATGTGATTCTGGTGGTCTGCGTCTTATCGGGCTTCCTCCTGAATATTATGGACTATGAGCAGGGGCCTCATGTAGCTGAAGGATTTCTAGCTGAGCTTGTTTACATTTTTGCCTGCAATCTTGGGACATTCACTCATGCGAATATGATATGACGCCCTGCTCGTCGGATGCTGTTATGCTCGCCTGCTTTGTGCCTTCCTGTTCCATGAATATCCCCCCTCTACAAGTATGTCGCTTTGCGTTTGTTCCCAAGCCTGAGTCGCCTGGGACAGAAATACAGGCTTGCCAAGCAAGCTGACACCTGCGACAACTTTCCTTTTCCTCCCCTCTGCTTTGAGCACGCCCTGTGCCATTTCCCTGGTTTGATTGGCCCTCTCTGAGGTTTGGAGTGGCGGAGGCTATTGGCGCCACCATCTTTGTGGGCCTTAGCCTGGACTACTGCCTCCACTTGGCCCACGCCTACAACGAGGCGCCGATGTCGGAGTCCCTGGAGAAGATGCGCCACGCGCTGGTGGTCATAGGACCCAAACCCGGGAATTGCCGAAGACGCGCACGCGGTACAATTCTGGAGGTGAAATGGAGGTTTGGGCGCGGTTGGCTTTGGATTGCTTCACTGTTCTTGGATCAAGTTGTTGTTTTTTGATTTGTTGGTTCTGTTCATTGTTAGGGGACCAAGGGTTGTGAAGATTGTCCTGGACAGTTGCCAACACTCGGCAGGTTTGTGGCCACCTGAAGTGAGAACGGCGATTCTCAGCTGAAGCGCAAATTGGACAGGACCTTCGATCATGGGCGGCGCCATCACCACGATTTCCGGCACGGCCTTTCTGCTGCCATGCCGCATCCTTCTCTTCCAAAAGCTAGGCGCATGGCCCAGCTTTCGCAAAGTGCCACATATTTTTTCCAGGAAGGCTTCTCCTTTGTCAATCTGAGCACATTCTACTTAGTACTTGACACAGTGTTCACGATGAATGATAATCGCAGTTTTGGTATCCGCGGATCGAAGACCCAGCGACCCACAAGGATTCTTGAGCACTCGCTCTGCTGACTGCAGGCTGGACCCTTTTCGCCAATGCCATCGTCTCCATGGTATACACTTTCATGTTCCTGAGCCCGGTGCTCATCATTTGCGGGCCCACAGGACCAATTTTCAGAGCGGGTCTCGGGAATTGCTCCCAGACTTTGGGGGGGGGGGAGGGGGGGCCGCCTCGGCATGGCACTTGCCTTGCCAGAGGCCCGTTTCTTGGGAAACAAAGGACTTGGGTATGGCCAGAGCCAAGTCTGGATTGCGCCAGGCGACGCTCAAGTATGTTTGATTGAGGTCTTGGCCTTGAATGCGTTCTCTCAGATGCTTTGGTCTTTCGTTCTGGTGATTGAGAAAGATCCCATGCCAGGATCGATGGGCACAATTTTCTGCCTGCCGTGCTTCAGGCAGGACGGCGAGCCAGGATTGCTGCATGCAAAAGGCAGTGGTCCCTGATCTTGGGACACATCTACCGGAAACCCAGATGTTGCAGCGGAGCAAACGCAATTCGCAGGCGCTGTACTCCTCATGACCATGTGGCAAGATATGGCGAGAGTCGGGTTCAAGCAGCTTGCACCTGAAGCGGAGGATGGCTCTTATTGCTTGACATGTTCAATGCGTTTCTTTCACGGGCAGTAAAAGAAGCAGCCGAATCCACACAGCCATGGGAAAGAATCCAGGCATCTTAGGGATAATCTGTCTTAAAGATGACTTTTGACCATTTGCGCACCCCTGCAGGCGGAGACCGTTAGAAACGAGCACTTGGAAGAATCCGGGCGAAGGTTTTTCAATTCCTTGTGTGTAATTCAAGTACATAGGGGAGATACTTCAAAGAGAACAATGCAGACACTTACACACTGGACAGCTGACTGGACAGCTCTGAACCTAGCAAACGATCAAAGTGCTGATAAGGAACAATTATGTCTGAAAATTGGACAATCGCAGTTCTACGCAAAAATGCCAGTTCAGGAAACTTGGAAACGGGAACGTTTACGACACGGGAGGTTCTGCGAGTTTTCATTTGCGGCATGTGAAAGCGTTGTTCGCATGGGCGGAACCTGCATTCCACAAGCAGGTTGCGTGCGTGTGGCATCACGAACACGGAGACCTGTTTTTGCGATCACGAAAGAAACCCAACTTTATCTGTGAAGCACTAAGTTTCTGAGAAACATCTTCTCGCTTCCTTTCTCGTCCCAGAGCAAGATCGAATCTCAGCTCCGCGAGCAAGCTGGTTTTCTTTCGCAACGGAAAGCAGCGGAGCCTCGAGGTTGTGAAGCGAAAAACAAACACGGCTTGCCACCGGCAGCGAGATCTCGGCTCTTGCAGATGGCCCACAAGAAAGGTGACGCACTCTTGGCACCGCCCGCCTCGCTTTACCCGGAAGTTTATGCTAAAGACCGGAATTCCACTGGGCCAAAGAAATGGCAAACGCTTTCCATCTTTTGTCCGAGAAGGAAGGCACGTAGGAGTCTCTCTTTCGCGAATGCATAGGTGAGTCTTTGAGTGTGTCGAAGTGAACGCAACCTAAATGGCCTCCGTGCTTGAGCGTAGTGATGCACTGCGGGAAGTTAATGCTGCCTTAATGCGACATTCTGCGGGGCGAAAGAAAGTAGAACGCTATTTCAGTTCCGCGAGAACGAAGAAACATCGTGCTTGCGATGTCCAGTTGGCTCCCGTTTGCACAGGCATAAACCGGCCTTCGAGTGTGTAATGCATCGTGAAAGCGACCTGCTAGCAGAAGGATATATGGGGAATCTGCCTGCTCGAAGAGCATTCTCCCAACTACCCACTGCTCCCCTCCGCGACACTCCGGGGGTGCGATCCAGATTGTGTCGCAGTAGTGAAACTCGCATGGTTCACGTCGCTAGTGGAAACTTGGATCAGAAAACGCTGTAGTTCCCCCATTGAACTGGGCACGCTTTCCTTTTTTGGATTGCAGTTTGGCCCAGGTAGCACTCAACTAAATGGCCATGGGTCAAAATCCAAATCGTACCCCAAGTGAACATCATTCAACCCAACCACTAAAATAGGTTTTCTAAAATGGGTGGTGCACCTACCAACCCCAAAATGGGATCCCATTGGTGTTGACCCACCGCATCTTGAATCCCTGGGGACCTCGACTGAGGACGCCGACGTGGCGACATCCAGCAGCACCTTGCCCGATCCGACGGCGCTGCCTGCGATCGAGGAGGTAGGGAGGGGGGCGGTGTCTTGGACGTGTAGATGTGTTGTCTCGGCTCTTAGCCATCTCCTGAGCTTTTTAGCTTAGTGTTTAGCAGTTTCCATTCAACCCGCTAAAAGTTGATCTTTTTAGCAGGGATCTGAGGGCAGCCCAGTTATGTATATGCCGCACAGATCTAGCACAACATGTATTTGGTCACGCTCGTTGCGAGCTTTTTGTATATGTTATGTTTCCACGTACATGAATGTTCACATGTAAGTGGAGCTGGCATGTGCTTTGGCTTCTCCGTCAGTAACTTCTGTATGCGCTTGCACAAGCCTGTGCGTATATGAATTTTGATGTAAACGGGGACATGTGTGTGTGTGTGTGTGTGTGTGTGTGTGTGTGTGTGTGTGCGTGTGCGTGTGCGTGTGTGTTTGTGTGTGTGTGTGTGTGTGTGTGTGTGTGTGTGTGTGTGTGTGTGTGTGTGTGTGTGTGTGTGTGCATGTGCGTGTTTATATGTATGTCTATGTTTATGTTTATGTCTATGTTTGTGTCTTTGTGTGCGTATATGCGCACGTACATGCACATATATTTACGCAGGTGTATAGGTGTTCGTATGTTCCAGAGCACCTTACTCAAGATGATTGGGCCGCTTGAGATACGTTTCACTACTAGCCGGGGTTGGCAGGGGAGATGGAGGCACTCAGAGTCTGTTTTACTAAGAAGGACTTTATTGAGATATTTTTGACGTGGTCTTGTTGAACTGACGCAGGAGCCCGAGAATGCGCTGCGGGTGCAGGCAAACGAGTCGCAGGATGTCATTGATGTGGACGAAGTGGCCAAGATTGAGACTTGCCCACGTTGAATTGATTGTGAAGTTGTGACAGGCCCATGTCATTGCGAGCGCTTAAGCCCATACCCAGCCCCTCAATCGAACCGAACCCGCCAACCCAATGCCCCTAACTCCTCCCAACCTCCACCAACCCAAACGCGCCAATTAACCAAAGAGCAGAGCAGAGCAGGGCAGTGCCAACCGCAGACAAAAGTCAAGCGGCGTTCAACGCACAACAACTGGACACATGAACAAAGACATCAAGACAAGCGCGCGGAAATACACAAAACGTACGCGCGCGCACGTGCGCAAGTGCACAAGTGCGCAAGCTCGCAAAAGTGCACAGCAGGCAAGCCCACGAGCACGGGCGCGCGTCCGTATGCCGCAACAACGCAAAGCAAACACATGTACACACAAGCGCAGAAGCACACGTGCACCACACACTTCACATACATTCAAGTACTTTCACACACACACACACACACCTTGACACGGACATTCACGCACACATGATACACGACATACACACTCAGAAACATTCGCATTCACACATGCACACACACACACACATGCACACACACACACACGTTTACACACACACACACACATTTACGCACACGTTTACACGTACACGTGTACACCCACACGTTTACACACACTCTCTTGTACACACACACACACACACACACACACACACACACACACACACACACACACACACACACACACACACACACACACACACACACACACACACACACACACACACACACACACACACACACACACACACACACACACACACACACACACACACACACACACACACACACACACACACACACACACACACACACACACACACACACACACACACACACACACACACACACACACACACACACACACACACACACACACACACACACACACACACACACACACACACACACACACACACACACACACACACACACACACACACACACACACACACACACACACACACACACACACACACGCGTTTACACACCCACACACGTTTACACATACGTTTGCACACACCTTTACACACGCGTTTACACACACACACGTTTACACACACACACACGTTTACACACACACACACACACGCACGTTTACACACGTTTACACACACACGTTCACATACCCACGCATACCCTCACATACCCACGCATACCCACAACACACACATACAACAAACGAGCCACATTCACACGCACACACACACACACACATTGACGTAAATGAACGCACAAACTCATGAACACGCACGCATGCATATACACACAAACGCACACACGCACAACTACACACGCAAGCAAACAAACACACAAGCACATGAACACACACGCACACACACACACAAATGAGCAGCCAAGCAGTCAAGCAGGCCAACACAAGCAAACACGCAAGCAAGCAAACGCTTGGTCAAGCACATAAACAAGCATCCCAGCAAACAAGAAAGCAAACACGCACGCAGAAACACACACACACACAGACACACCCGCCCGCCCATGCACGCCCGCACACCCGCGCGCCCGCACGCGCACACGCACGCCCTCGCCCTCGCTCGCGCACGCGCGCGCGGACACACAGAAACACCCACACACAGACACAGACTCGCACAGACACACTCGCAGACACAGACTCGCACAGACACACTCGCAGACACACACACACACACATTCGCACACACACACACACACAGACACACACGCACACAAACACGCACACTTAAACTCCAAATGGAGAGTGCTAATCATTCGAGTACAACTGATGAGTCTCGAGTACAACTGATGAGTCTCGAGTATGATGAGCTTCGACTCGCATAACGCTTGGCTTCCCTGTAGCTACTTTAACAGGGACACCCAGAAGCAACGGCAGTTCAGGGGGGGGACCAAAAGGACATTCAGAACAACACAACCATCTCGGCAGGTACGTCTGACTGATCAGGTCAGATATCAGCGCAGGTCACGGCCCTCTTCGTTGGGTCACCGGTCGTGACTGCGGGTGACCCCCCTGCTGAGAAACCGAAAAGGTGGTGACAGGGCATTCTGTCACTCCGCACACACACGCCCCTCAATGAGGGGCGAGAAACACTTTTTCGGGGGGGAGAAGAAGCGCCCGAAAGACGGACGAAGACCCCAACAGAAAACAAACGGAGCAGGCGCCCAAAAGAAACAGAAAGCCCCACGTTGGGTCTCCGCGGGCAAAACCCCAACCGAGAAACACGAAAAACAGGGGAACCCGAGTTTTAGGGTCACCGCCGAGGGCAAAAACCCCAAACAGCCCAGAAACCCTCCTAAACCTGGAAGACGACCACCACCGCAAAGTTGAAGACCGAGAAGAGGACCAGGCCATCCCTAGACGGGCGAAGAGGAAGAACAGGAAGTAGTTGGAAAAGGGGGGGGGGGGGAGGAAACGAAGAAAGGAAGAGAGAAAGAGAGAAAAAAGAAGGAACGAAAGAGAGAGAACGAAAGAGAGAGAGAGAGAGAGAGAGAGAGAGAGAGAGAGAAGAGGAGAGAGAGAGAGAGAGAGAGAAAGAGAGAAAGCGTATTTAGGGCGTCGCAACCGCCCGGGGGAAAAAGAAACAGGGTGCGTATTTAGGGCGCCGCATCCCGCCCGGGAAGAAGGAAAAACGAAGAGAGAGGAGGAGGAGAGAAGGAGAAGGGAACAGGAGAAAAGGGAAGGAAACGAGAGAAGGGGAGAAGGAGGGAAAGAGGGAAAGAAAGAGAGAAAGAAAGAAAGAAAGAACGAAAGAAAGAAAGAAAGAAAGAAAGAAAGAAAGAAAGTAAGTGTGCGTATTTAAGGCGACGCATCCCGCCCAGAGAAACACGAGGACAAAGCCAATGCTCGAGGAAGAGGGCGTCGAATCCCGCAGAGGGGCCATGAGGAAGAGCACGATGAAGCAACGGTAGGGAACGAAGACGGCAAGCCAAACAGCGCGAGGGGACCGAGGACTTCGAACAAATAGGCAAACAAGAAGAGGACGACGACGAAAAAGGCAAACAAAGCGGCGGAGAAGAAGCCATCCCTAAACGGGCCAAGAAGAAGAACAGCAACACGCGGAAGACGGAAGGCCGGAAGAAGGAACGGGAGGAAGGAGAAGCCATCCCTAAACGGGCGAAGAGCAAGACGACGGACACGCGGACGACGAAGGCGAGGAGGGAGGGTGAGACGTCACTATGATCTGACCGCTGTCTTCCCTTTAGTGAAACCTCGTTCCTGGTTAAATGTGAAATTCCGCTGTTCTATGATCAGCACGTTGAGGTCAAATTTTCCGACAGAGCCGGCCCGGGGTCACACAATGGGTACACCCGAGGATTCCCCACGAATGGGGTGTACACACTTAAACTCCAAGTGGAGCGTGCTAATCTTTCGAGTACAACTGATGAGTCTCGAGTACAACTGATGAGTCTCGAGTATGATGAGCTTCGACTCGCATAACGCTTGGCTTCCCTGTAGCTACTTTAACAGGGACACCCAGAAGCAACGGCAGTTCAGGGGGGGGACCAAAAGGACAGTCAGAACAACACAACCATCTCGGCAGGTACGTCTGACTGATCAGGTCAGATATCAGCGCAGGTCACGGCCCTCTTCGTTGGGTCACCGGTCGTGACTGCGGGTGACC